GTGTGAAACTCGGTTTGTATTCTACTATGTTTGCGGGTGTGGTTCCCAATCAGAGGCAGCTGTCGCACGTGTTCTCTGATTGGGGATCATACTTAGGCAGCCAGTTTTCCTGCCTGGGTTGTGGGATCTTGTTTGTGTTTCGGTGTGTTTGGCTTGTTTGTGTATAGCCTTCTGACGTCACGTTTCGTTGCCTTTTGTCAGTGTTTATTGTTTTAATAAACATGTATGCATTCCCACGCTGCGCCTTGTCTAATCCATCTCTCAATGATCGTGACAGGTAGGTTTATTTGAACAGTGAAAGACAATAACAACAAACAAATCCAGAAAAACGCATGTCTAAAATGTTATAGATTTGCATTTTAATGAGGGAAATAAGTATTTGACCCCCTCTCAATCAGAAAGATTTCTGGCTCCCAGGTGTCTTTTATACAGGTAACGAGCTGAGATTAGGAGCACACTCTTAAAGGGACTGCTCCTAATCTCAGCTTGTTACCTGTATAAAAAAGACACCTGTCCACAGAAGTAATCAATCAGATTCAAAACTTTCCACCATGGCCAAGACCAAAGAGCTCTCCAAGGATGTCAGGGACAAGATTGTAGACCTTCACAAGGCTGGAATGGGCTACAAGACCATCGCCAAGCAGCTTGGTGAGAAGGTGACAACAGTTGGTGCAATTATTCGCAAATGGAAGAAACACAAAATAACTGTCAATCTCCCTTGGCATGGGACTCCATGCAAGATCTCACCTCGTGGAGTTGCAATGATCATGAGAACAGTGAGGAATCTGCCCAGAACTACACAGGAGGATCTTGTCAATGATCTCAAGGCAGCTGGGACGATAGTCACCAAGAAAACAATTGGTAACACACTACGCCGTGAAGGACTGAAATCCTGCAGCACCCACAAGGTCCCCCTGCTCAAGAAAGAACATATACAGGCCCGTCTGAAGATTGAATCATTCAGATGTTCATTGGCAGAGGAGAACTGGGTGAAAGTGTTGTGGTCAGATGAGACCAATGGAGCTCTTTGGCATCAACTCAACTCGCCGTGTTTTTAGGAGGAGGAATGCTGCCTATGACCCCAAGAACAACTTCCCCACCGTCAAACATGAAGGTGGAAACATTATGCTTTGGGGGTGTTTTTCTGCTAAGGGGACAGGACAACTTCACCGCATCAAAGGGACGATGGACGGCGCCATGTACCGTCAAATCTTGGGTGAGAACCTCCTTCCCTCAGCCAGGGCATTGAAAATGGGTCGTGGATGGGTATTCCAGCATGACAATGACCCAAAACACACGGCCAAGGCAACAAAGGAGTGGCTCAAGAAGAAGCACATTAAGGTCCTGGAGTGGCCTAGCCAGTCTCCAGACCTTAATCCCATATAAAATCTGTGGAGGGAGCTGAAGGTTTGAGTTGCCAACCGTCAGCCTCAAAACCTTAATGACTTGGAGAAGATCTGCAAAGAGGAGTGGGACAAAATCCCTCCTGAGATGTGTGCAAACCTGGTGGCCAACTACAAGAAACGTCTGACCACTGTGATCGCCAACAAGGGTATTGCAAGCAAGTACTAAGTAATGTTTTGCAGAGGGGTCAAATACTTATTTCCCTCATTAAAATGCAAATCAATTTATAACATTTTTGACATGCGTTTTTCTGGATTTATTTGTTGTTATTCTGTCTCTCACTGTTCAAATAAACCTACCATTAAAATGATAGACTGATCATGTCTTTGTCAGTGGGCAAACGTACAAAATCAGCAGGGGATCAAATACTTTTTTCCCCTCACTGTATTATTATTAATGGGAAGGCCATGAGTGAAGAATCCTTGGCCGAAAATGAACAACTGCTCGTTCTATACTACCTGGAGTCTCATGCTGAAACATCTCCAAATGGCTGGAGTTGTAGAAATGTTGACCGTAAGTTAACTAATGTCATATGCTATAATGTTGAATCGTATTTGCTTTTTTGGCACGTGTTATTGATATGTCATAGTTCCAATTGTAGCTGAACGAATGGCTCTCAAGGGAGGTGCGCAAGTTGCCAAATGGTGAGAAATGGACTGTCATCGGTGTTAAGCAACACAAGACAGGGACACAATTAGTGGCAACCGTTTCGTTAGACGAGGAGGAAGATTCAGTAAGTATATTTACCACAATCTGGTTATTGTGAATGTGATTGATTTAATACAAACCTGGTAAATATGTTTTCTTTTGTGTACATTTTCAGTGGTTGGATGTGTACTACCGACACGTTCGACCAGCTTTTCTTCAAAACTCTGACGTGGAAGATGATGAGATTCTTAATTTCCACAACTGGAAAAGCCATCTACAACCCTTCGAAAGACCTACAAAGGTTTCATGCCAAGTACAACACTGTTAAGAAGAACGCTGTTTTTTTTATCATTACAAAATACTTTTTTGACAGTACAGTTTTCTAAATCCAAAACAGTTTTTTCTTGTTCTTTCATCAGATACAAACTCCCCAACATCACAAGCCAGGTAGCGACACAGGTTTTTGAGACAAATACCAAAGCCAGCTTCACAGATGCAGAGAAGGCACTTGTTGCTGACTACTTGGCCCATACAACTGCTACAGCTGACAGGCACTACCGCTTGAAGACACCAGTCAATGCCTTCATGGGATTGAAGCTGATCTCCAAAGTTGCCATGTCCAGTGAATCTGAGTAAGTATTTACACTAATTATATAAATGACCCTTTACATTGTCTTGTAAATGTTGTTACAAATGGCGAACATATTTGTTATTTTTCCTTTTTCAAGTAGTGAAACTGTAGGCCCCTCCTGCGCAAGCACAAGTTATGGAACAGGAGCATTGTCCAGCAGCCAAAAGTTGGATGAGGCACAGGCCTTGAACCTCTTCTATCAAAGCTTCCCTGTCACAATTGATGGACAATCAATCAAGAAGAAGGACAGACTACTGATTGCAGGAAGGCATGAGAGATAATGTTATGACAAGTGGAGAAGCCAGCAAGAGAAAATGAGATGGGATTATGTGATCAGTAAGATGCAGCTAAAATACAGTAAACTGAATACAATTTTATCATATAAGGTATTACGAGAATGTACTTGATTTAGTCACATAACTACGACTGTGTAGTCCTGGATAAGGGCTTCTGCTATTGAATTAAATGAAATTAATAATAACACATTTATGTTTGTCTTTGCGTTGTTACAGCTCACTTCCCCAGAAGAGAACCCACTGCCAGACAAGTAGAGATATACATTGAATGGCAGAACTGGGAGAAGAACAAAGTGAAGGTGGAGGATGTCCTTCGTTACTGGCAACCTTCAAGCAAGACTGACAACAAAAGACAAGGCAATTATGAAGCTGGTGAAGTCCCAGAAGTGGAAAGGACTGTACATTGCCAGTGACCCTGTCAAAGGATGAAAGGTCATGACGACACGGACATTTGCTAAAGGGGAAGTCGTCTGTGACTACCACGGTCTCCCACTCTTAGGGAAGCAGGGGAAATAACTTTTGGCAGCAACAGAGGAAGACAAGATGGGGTACCTTTACATCTACAAGGATGCATCAGGGAAAACGTGCTACATAGATGCCAAGACTGTGCCCTGCCCTTGCCACCCAGAGAAGGACACAATTGGACGGAGGATCAACCACTCCAGAAAGAGAAGCAACATAAAGGGTCAGCTTCAGCAACTTGAAGAGGATGGCAAAGTGTGGAACGTCATCCTTTTCATTGCCCAACGAGACATTCCGGTGCAGGAAGAACTGTTATTTGACTATAGGGAGTAAAGAAAATATTTTGGTGGAGAAGGAGAACATTTGGAATGGCTTGACAGCTAGGTCAGTCAGCTTGAAATCACCAATAACTGATGGGACTCAAAACTATCCTTAAGTTGGGAGTGCAAGCGATGGGGGAGATAGACAGTGCAGAGGAGGTGATCCCCCCCCGTCGTTGACGGGCTCATCGATCCAACTCATCCAGGTGGACGTAGACCTGGAGACCAGGGTGATGGTGAAGCCTGCTGGAGATGGGGAGTCTCAGGGCATTTTCTGGGACCCCCCCATCCCCAATCCTTTCCCCTTGTCTTGGGTTTCACAGGAGGGGGGGTGTGTGGGTGGGGCAACCTCGGAGAGTGAGGGTCAGGAGCCCTCGCACGTGGGTGTACAAGTGTTTGGGGGGATGATCAGTGAGGCCAAGCTGGAGCCCCTGTCATCACAGGACTCAGCTCTCCCATTTCTCACCATGGAGGAGATCCGGTCGTCCCCTGAACTGTTTTGGCCATCAGGGGATGGGGTGTCTCAGGCAAGCTCTGGGACGCCGGTACCCCTCATCCCCAACCCCTTCCCCACGTCTCGGGGTTCTCAGGAGGGGGATACGGGGAGTGGGAGAGTTGGGGGGGCCTCCGAAAGCTGCTGGAGTAGCATCCCTGTCTGATGAGGACAGGTACCAACCGGACAGAGTAAGTGCATGACTATTGTATAGGGCTGTTTTTTCTATTAGTTTGGGAAAATGGCAAACATTAAAATAATGACAACATAAAAAGAAGGGCCGTTTTTAGTTGGTTGTCCAACATAAGTTTTACTTTTTATTTTTTGCAGGAGGTGCATTTGAGAGATGGGGGGGATGTGGAACAATTTTTAAAAGAGTAGGTTAAAGGGAAGTCAGTGTGGAGTGTGGGGGGAGTACACTCAGCAGGGGTTGGGATTTTGTTTGGCACAAGGGAGGTGAAGGTGGAAGGAACATACGTAGCGATGCAGGGGAGGGTATTGGGGGTGGACATAGTATTAGGGGATTTTAGACTAAGGGTTATAGGGGTATACGGGCCACAGACGGTGCCAGAGAGAAGGGAGATGGTGGAGCTTCTGGCAGCCCTGTGTGCCACAAACAGGGTTTTGGTAGTGGGAGGGGATTTTAATGTAGATTTAGGAGGGGTAGCAGATGGTAGTGTAGGGGCCATCACCGGACTTATGGCAAGCCATGGCCTGGTGGATGGCGGCCTTAATACTACTCCGGCGCTGGCAGGCCCCACGTGGTGTAACTCCCGGGTTTTGTGAGGAGGCTGGACTACGTCTTCCTACCCAAATCCCTGGGGCTTTTGTCTGGGCGGTTGTTGCCTGTGTTTTTCTCGGACCACGACAGGGTTTGTTTTAGGGTCAAAGCACCTGTCTGCCTTTTCGGTAGGGGGTAATGGAAGCTCGACCGGGATATCCTGGAGGAGCGAGCTTTCATCAACACTTTTTCCGTTTTTTTTCGGGGGCTTGAGGGTGTCCGTCCTATGTGCGGAGGGGTGTTGGAGTGGTGGGAGATAGCCAAAGTCAGGATTAGGGTTTTATTAGTGGGTTTTGTAACAGGAAGGTGAGAGAAGGGAGGTGGAACAGCTCCAACGTTTACTTGAGCTCGAGTACGAGGCAGGCAACCTCGGGAGCTCGATGGATGTTGAGCGTGCAACCAGCCTAAAGGCTCAACTCAGGGAGGTGCATGAGCGGAAGGCCCGTGCTTTCCTGCAGCGTGCACACTCCGAGTTCATAGAGCAGAATGAGACCTGCTCTGCAGTGTTTTTTAAATCAGTTAGGGAAAAGCAGGAAAGACAGTTTTTTTATGGGGTGAGGGATAGACAGGGTAGGATAGTCAGGGAGCTGGCACAGATGGTCAGGGTGGCAACTGACCATTTCCAGAGGTTTTTCCAGGAGAGGGTAGTAGAGGAAGAGCAGGGTACCGTGTTCTTAGAACATTTGTCCCAGCGTGTGCCGGAGGACATTAAAAAGGCGGTGGAGGCCCCGATAACACTAGAGGAGGTGGAGAGTGCCCTCAAGAGGATGTGGAAAGGGAAGGTGCCTGGGATGGATGGGCTGCCGACTGAGTTTTACCTCAAATTTTGGGGTATGCTTGGACCGGTGGTACTCGAAGTCCTGACGGCCGTTCTCGAGACTGGAGTTCCGGGCAGGTCAATGGCTGTAGGTGTGCTGTCCCTCCTCTACAAGAAGGGAGACACCGCAGACCTTAGCAACTGGCGGCCGTTGACCATGTTGTGCGTAGATTATAAAATACTAGCTAAGGTCATGGCAGACCGTTTGCGCACAGCCCTTCCCTATGTTGTCCATGAGGATCAAACGTGTGGGGTGGAAGGCCGTTCCATTAGGTGGAACCTCCAACTGATCAGGGACTCCATCGCCTGGGTTGAGGATAGAAGACTGCCTCTAATTGTAGCGGCACTTGATCAGGCAAAGGCTTTCGATCGCGTCAGTAGGGTTTTTCTTTTCAGAGTGTTAGGTAGGTTAGGGTTTAGTGATCACTTTATAAAGTGGATCAAGATTTTGTATGTGGGTAGAGGGTGAGCATAAACAGCCATCTGGGTGACGTGTTTGGCCACTCCTCAGGGGTCAGGCAGGGATGCCCGCTCTCGGCACTCCTTTTCGTGCTCTATATGGAGCCCCTGGCGGCTGCTATTAGAGCTGACGCAGGGGTGGAGGGTTTGCTTGTCCCTGGGAGCGGCGGTTTGCATGTTAAGGTGACACAGTATGCCGATGACACCACCTTGCTTTTTTGCAAGGACTCATGCCTGCTAAGGTCTCTGGCCATAATTGGAGACTTCACCCGCGCGTCGGGAGCGGTCCTTAACAGACGACTTGGCGAGGTTAAGTATTTTGGCAGATGGTGGGGCAGGACGGACGTGCCCGGTGGACTATCTTTCTGTAATGGGGCCCTGAGGATTCTTGGGGTCCACTTTGAGACCTCCGGCTCTGCGACACTGAACTGCAACATTAGGGTTGCTGTGGTGCAGAGGAAGCTTGCAATGTGGAAGGCCATATCTTTGTCTTTCTTGGGCAAGGTCCTGGTCCTGAAGGTGGATGTACTGCCTTCCCGTCTGTATTTGGCATACATTTATCCATTGCCAGCGAGCATGAGGAGGGGGCTAGTATGGCTTGTTTCAGTTCATGTGGGGGGGCAGGTATGAGTATGTCGCCAGGGCTCGCATGCTCTCAACCATTAGGGAGGGTGGGAGCGGAGTCCCACATTTCCCACTCAAGCTGGACTCGATTTTTGTTTCGTTTTTGTTGAATGAGCTCGGTGATTCATTCCTCCGGTTATTTTCTGTGGGTGTTCTTCTCATACCAGGCGAGAAGTGTAATGGTGTGGTCCAACACGGGTCCTCGGGCTGAACAGCTGCCGTGGCACTTCAGCCATGCGGCGAAGTGGCTGCGTGCGCATCCAGAGGTTGAAGTCACAGACACCTGGGGCCTCATGTACAAAGACTTGCGTTGAATTCATACTAAAACATTGCGTACGGACAAAGCCATAAATGTGCGTACGCACCAAAAAAATCTGATGTACGAATCTCTGCGTACGCAGCATTCCACATACATTCTCTTTGTACATCCCAATCAACGCGAAATTGAGCGCACATGCACGAGCACCACACCACACCCTGTCTCCTCCCTCAATTAAATCAATTTAAATATGGTAATTAGTCCAATTTGGCAAAAGAAACCTGCAAGAACATGGCTAAAGCAAGCAAGAAACGAAATTTCACTGAAAACGAATTAGAGGTGCTACTATCAGAGGTAGAAACAAGAAAAAAAAAATTATTTGGAAATCTGTCCTCTGGAATTAATAACAAAAGAAAGAAAAAAGAGTGGGCGAGTTTGTCTGATGCCGTCAACGCGGTGGGATCTGAGAGTCGCACCGTAAATGAACTGAAGAAGAAATGGTCAGACATAAAGGTGGAAGTTAAGCGGAGAACTGCTGCGCACCGACAAAGTGTGGGCAGAACAGGCGGTGGTACAGGGACCGATGAACTTGCACCCTTTGATCAGAGAGTTGCCTCTATTGTAGGAGACACGTTAATCTCTGGAATCGTATCCGCTGATGTAGGAGACACGTTAATCTCTGGAATCGTATCCGCTGATGTAGGAGACTCGGATATACTACAGGACTGCCAGCAAGGTGACTCAGATTTATTTCCTTAACTTTGATATACATAGCCAGCCACCGTTTAATTTTAAAATGCATGCAATATAGCAAAAGGTACACCAGAGATTTCACGTATCCACTGCTTTTATTGCAAATGCGTGTACCCATTAATAAGGAACAGACTCAAATTACTGTTAAGATGTGCCTGTGTTTAATTGGACTTAGGAACCGCAGGAACGTCCACTGGCACGCACTCAGAGTCCGCACCACCTGAGCAGCCAGAGCCCATTCAGTCCAGCGTCTCCCATGTCTCTAATGTTCCCCCCCAGTGCTGAAACCCGTCCATCTGGCCGTGTCTTGACGCATGCTGTTCTGGAGTCACAACAACAAATTGTTAGGGCCATTGAAGAAATGAACAGTCACCTTAAAAATGTCACTGACGCACTCACAGAAATAAGCCATTCATTAAAAGAATTGGTAAAAAAATGAACTTTGTGTCTGAGTACCATTTATATTGTCGCAATTACACGTTGACGGGCCTGAATGGCTTGTTGATTGTGCTGCACATATACTGGTCCTGGGTCAGGGTCATCTGGCGGTGCCCCCACCTCACCAAGGGGTATGCCATGCCTGTGCGCGACATTGTGCAGCACTCCACAGGCCAGTATGATGCGGCAAACCTTGTCAGGGCGGTATAACAGCATCCCCCCGGTCCTGTCAAGGCAGCGCCACCGACATTTCAGCTGCCCAATCGCCCGCTCCACAACTGACCGAGTGCGGGAATGGGCATCATTGTATCTGCGCTCTCGGTCAGTTTGTGGGTTGGTGAGGGGGGTTAACAGCCACGTCTTTAGTGGATAACCACTGTCTCCTGATGGGCAGTAATAATAATTACAGACACAAACATTTTACTTTTAGATAGAACCATACATTTAAATGCATAACTTACCAAGTAGCCACCCATCACGCACCCTGCCAGCTTGGAGTCTCATCCCAACCATGCTGTTTGTAAGGATATATGAATCATGGGTTGACCCAGGCCACCTTGCCACAATATTTATTAGGCGCATTTATGCATCACATATAATCAGCACATTTATTGAATGGAAATGTTTCCGATTCACATATGCAAATTCGTCTTCAGTTGGCGCCTTTATAGCAATATGTGTGCAGTCGATCGCTCCGATTACATTAGGAAAACCGGCTATCGCTGCAAATTGCGCTTTGATGTTTGGCTGGTCACCTGCATCGTATGGGAACGTTATATACCTGGTAGACAAGCGGATGATGCCGTCCCATACAGGTGGCATTGCACGGCTCAAACACGACTGGCTTATTCCTGAGCGGTCTGCCAGTTCTCTTTGGAAAGAACCGGTTGCTAGGAAACCAAGTGTAGTAAGCACCTGTAAAGGAACGGGTAATGCGTGGCTCCTCACTGTCTCTCTTTCCAAATTCGGACCCAACTCAGCGCAGAGCTCCAAGAGTATAGCCCTTGGAAATCTGAAACGGCTGATGAGCCAGTCATCGTCGTGGGCCAGAAAATCACCGTGGTCCCTAAAAACTCGTTCTCTCCGGATTTGTCCATTGAAAATGTCTTCTAATAAAGCCAAAGCTGCCATTGCTAGACGGGTTGTATCAATTTTCACATCCTTTATATATGTTCTTACTTAATTGCATAATTAATAGAATATTCTAATAAGACTCGTGACAATAATATGGCAAATCATTTATCAATTACAAATTATAAAGTATATCTGGCAGGTCCGATAGAACAGTTCGTAGTGTAATGTTTGCCACTTCACTTTATTGCCTCTATGAGTCGCCAACGGACAAACATCACAAAAATGTACGTACGCCAGGCCTGAAGTTTACGTGGAAGAACGCACATTCTTACGTTAATTTCACTGTTAGTACATCTGACCGTGAACGTGAAAGCTGGCGTACGCCGTGTTTTCGTGCGTACGCAAGATTGATACATGAGGCCCCTGGATCACAGACACCTGTACGAGGAGGTTAGACGTAGCGTTTGTGCAGCCCCTGTGGTGGGTACCCCTGCTGTGGTCTGGGAGAACATACAGGTGCGGGTTTTGGACAACCGCCTAAAGGATCTAAATTGGTTAAGCCTCCACAAGTGCTTGCCGGTAAGATCCATCATGTACCGGCACAGTTTGGCACGATCCCCTCAGTGTCTGAGACCAACTTGCGTTGGGGAGGAGACGATACGCCACATGTACTGGGACTGTGCTTTCGCAGGAGTAGTGTGGGCCAGGGCACAGTGTTGACTAGGTAGAGTTAAGGGGGATTTTGTTTTAACATGGGCGAGGGTGGAGAGAGGAATAGGGAGAGCAGGAGGGGCAAGTAGGGAACGTTTTTTGTTGTGGCTGATCATCAGCCTTCTTACAGTTTTTTACGATTGTTTACACACTAAAATTAAAATTTCCACACAATTAGCAAAATTGTACTCCAATGAGCAAAACACCTCCACAGATTTGCACAACATTACACACAATGTCCGCCTCACCCTTTTTGCAAAACATTACACACAGTGATTTGTAAAACTCTACACACATTTTCACACCTTAGACACAGATAAGGATTGTGAGGTTACTTCCTTGTAATTACAAAGCACCGGATTGCCAATTACCACACTAATGAACGAATTGGATAAACACATCTACCAGGTGTGGAAGCACACATGTGCTAATTTGAAAACGCAGCACTCAGGTGTGCTATAAAAGGCAGCAGGTGAGTTCACCTGTCTTCAACAAAAATGGAAGGAGTTAGAAGAAGAAGAAGAGTGAGAATGAGAGGGGGAGCTCAAAGAGGAGATGAAGGCGGTAGAGGAAGAGGAGAAGGAGGTAGAGGAAGAGGCATATGTAGAGGAGAAGAAGGTAGAGGAAGAGAAGGAGGTAGAGGAAGACACCTAGGTAGAGGAAGAGGTAGAGAAGGACTTGAAGAGTTGATAGAACCTGAACAAAGAAGACGAGGACCAAATTTGACTCGAGAAATCCGTGCAACACTTATTGACCATGTTATCAACCATGGACTGACACTGATGGAAGCTGGACAAAGAGTTCAACCAAATCTCAGCAGAAATACTGTTGCGTCAGTACTTCGGACATTTCATCGAGAAAACAGGTAAGCTAACCACACAGTATACATTGAAACTGAAGCTTGTATAATCAATATTGTTTACTGTGACATTTGACAGTAGGCTGCATATATATATATATATATATATATTTATTTATTTTTATCTTGTTTTTACATAGGATTGAGGGTCGAGGACACCAAGGTGGAAGGGGCCCTATGTTTAGTCGTGCACAAGAGGCCGCCATTGTGAACATGGTTTTGGCCAATAATTGTATCAGGCTACGAGAAATCCAAGCCAATATCATCAATGATGACAATATTTTCAATAACATCCAACTAGTCTCTCTGTCAACATTAGGTCGAATCCTAAAGAAAAATCAAATATACATGAAGCAACTGTATCGGGTACCATTTGACAGAAATTCAGAGAGAGTGAAACATCTGCGCAATGAGTATGTGGAGGTATGCATTGTTCATCTGACTATGGTGTGGTATCATGCACTGCTCATAATGTTCTGTCACAAAAAAATACTGTGCTATAGATATTGAATAGCATCCTATTTTCTTTAATGTGTTTCAGAGAGTCTTGCAAATGGATGCTGCTGAAATTCAACATGAATTTATATATGTGGATGAGGCTGGATTTAAGCTTGCAAAAACAAGAAGAAGAGGGAGAAATGTAATTGGGCACAGGGCAATCACCAATGTGCCAGGGCAGCGAGGGGGTAACATCACCCTTTGCGCTGCTATCACACAAAATGGGGTCCTCCACCACCATGCAAATCTGGGACCCTATAATGCAAATCTGATACTTGCATTTCTTGACCGATTGCATGAGATTGTCACAGCATTACACCAAGTGGACCAGATGCGGTACATTGTCGTTTGGGACAATGTCTCATTTCATCGGGCTGCTCTAGTCCAGAACTGGTTCCATGATTACCCTGATTTTGAAGTTTTATACCTTCCCCCATACTCCCCCTTCCTGAATCCTATAGAATAATTTTTTTCAGCGTGGCGGTGGAAGGTATATGACCTGCGGCCTTATGACCGTTTGCCCCTCATTCAGGCCATGGAACAGGCATGTGATCTTATTGAAGCAGCTTCAGTGCAGGGGTGGATTCGTCACACAAGGCGATTCTTCCAACGGTGCCTTGCCAATGAAGACATAGCCTGTGATGTGGATGAAATGTTATGGCCTGATCCAGCCAGACGGAGAGACGGATAGTTACAGTATTCTTGTTGCTTTTACAGTAGTTCTCTTTCATTTCTGTTTACTTTTACTTTACTTTTCTTTAGAGTCAAAGTGTATGTACTGTAATTCATGCAGTAATTTTTATTTGTCTACGGATTTTATTTGTTTACAGTAATTGATATCATTGTTGGTTGATTACTGTAACTGATTATGGTAAGAAATACTGTAAGTATTGAAATACATACTTGAAATATTCAGTCTGCAGCATCAAGTGTTGTGCAGTGCTTGGTAAGGTTATAGTAGGCCTACAGTATTTGTTTACATTCTCCTTATATCTCAAAACAAATCATGAATAATGTTGTGAGTTTCTCACTATTTTTTGTCACCTAAATTATCTCTCACATACAGTAAGAATGTCTGGCCAAAAATCTTATTATTTTTTTTTTTTACAAATGTGTTTTTTATTTATCACAGCAGTGTGAAACTGGCTGCAATAGTGTATGATCATTGATGACTGTGTTGGTTAAATGAAAACAAATAGCATTTTCACAAATATGTGTATATGTTTTGACTGAAGTGTGTCATTTTGCAAACAATCTAGGAATTTTGCTAATTGATTGTGGTGTTTGGATAATTGTGATTATATTTTGACAAAAAGAACTCTGTTTTCAAAATCGCGTGTAAACAATTGAAAAAAACTGTAAACAAGGGCTGTGGGATGCTAGGCAAGGTTTGGTAAAGTCGGGGGCAAACTGTGGGGTGGAGGGAATAGTGAGGAGAGTGGAGGGAGATTTGAGAGGGAGGATAAGGAGGGAGGAGAGGAAGTGGGGTCACCATGCCGCCATAGAGCGGTGGAAAGGGGGACTAGGGCTGGTCAGATAGGTAAGTCCTAGAAGGTAGTTATTGGTAGGCAGTTGTGGGATATTGATGTGTTAGGTTTACTGATGTATAGTGGTTTTAGTTCGCTGCGGTCCCCTGCAAAGGAACAGGGGTCAGGCGCAGGTTGAACACCAATACCGTGTGTTTATGAGCCATACAAATTATGTTACCAAGTACCATAAATTGAGAATGGGGGAAATGTCAGTAGGTTGGAAAATGGTTTTGACGTGCTGATAGTTCAACTGTGAAATAGATTATGGTGTATGTTAAGATGTGGTGGTACAATGTTGTGAAAACCAGTGGCTTTTTTGTTATAAAAACGTTTTGTATGGGTATGTTATAAATGTATAAATTGTTCACCATTTGGATGTATAAAAGGTAGAATAAAACTTTAAATCATCTGTTTTTATCATTTCTTAACTACCCCAGGCGAAGGGTCCCCCACAACACCTAAGGCCACGGCCTGACAGCACTGCGGAGCCTAGGGCGATGCGCCTAGGGGAGGGCTCTCCTCTGGGCCCCGACGGATGGGTACGAAGTCAATTCAGGAAGAGGCTTTTTTGATAAGGACTCACCCCGTTCTTGTACAAAGGACCAAAGACAGCTTTTTAACAAAGTGACTTTTGACAGGCTTTCCATGTCTTAACATTTTTATACTTTGTTAAATCATTTATGCACATTTTAAATGGCTTTTTATAGATTGGCTTTTACAAGAAAGGGTACTTTTATGCATGATTGCTTTATTGTTTTAAATAAACAACTTGTACCTTTTAAATGTCATATAATGCTGATTTTTATGCATTTTATGCCGTTTTTATGTGTATAAATGAATAAAAAATGTGAGCTGTTTTAAAAGGAAAATGAATCAATAAAAACTTTTCCAAAATAAAAATTGTTCTTATCAGTTTATTTTGTGTCCCTTGGTGTTGGTAGGCCCTGTTAGCCTAGCATAGCTGGGCCTGCCAGATTCCTCTGGTGTTTACACTTCCCCCCCTTTTTTTTTCTCACTGCTGGTGGGACAAAGGGAGTGGGCCTCCATGTCAGCAGCACAGGCTGGCATGCGGAGGCACCACGCCATGCACCTCCTTTTAAAAGGAGAAGGGAGGGAAAACAATGGAGTTGTCCCAATTGGACTTCTCCAGAAAATTCCTCCAAAAAGAACTCGGTTTCAGACCTGCGCAGGTGAACTGCATCTTAACCCTCTCTTATGGGAAGGGCTTCGATGTTAGTTTCGCCGGCGCCAGCTTCCTGAGGGATTTCTGGGGGAGACTCCAGAACACCCAGGGGTCCCTGACAGCAATATTTGAGGTGACCAAGCTGACGGACAATAGCATTAAAACCGTTATTGTCCGTATGTACAATGAGACTGTACAACCGGAGGACGTTGCAGTATGGTTGGGCAGGTACTACAACGTGAGGGGGACCCTGACCCAGGTGAAGGATCCCGATGGGATCTGAACAGGGGCCTGGAGGGTCACTGTCCAGCAGAGGGAGGATCCCGGGGGCTATGGTGGGTTGAAAGCCATCCCATCCACCATAGTCCTCAGAGAGAACAGGGTCCATGTTCACTACAAGGACCAGCCTAAGCAGTGCCGTAAGTGTGGCGAGCATGGCCACCTAGCAGACGCCTGTGACAAGGTGGTCTGCATGAAGTGCCGAGAGGTGGGCCACCGCTACGAGGATTGCACAAACGGAAGATCGTGCAACCTCTGTGGCGAGCGGTCCCACCTCATCCGCAGCTGCCCCTCCTCCTGGGCCAACAAGGTCAGGGCTGGCAGGATGGAGGCGGTGGCTGCGGACCGGGCTTCCGAGCGCCAGGTGGAGGAAGTGGCAGTTGCCACGGTAGCGGAGGTGGTGGTAGCGGTAGTGGAGGAGATGGTGGCGGTAATGGAGGAACTGGTAAACCTACCCACCCCAACCCCCCCGCCCCAGACTGAGGTGAGCCCTGAAGGAGAAAGGGCGGAGAAAGACGGCTCTGGAGTGGTGGTGAGTGAGAGCTCCCCAAGTGGGTCAGATAGCATGATGACAGTGTCAGAAACGACACTGTCAAGCGGGGAAGGTACAAGAGAGAGAGGGGAGAGACCCTGGACGAACACCTTTCCCTACGGAAGAGAAACGCAGAGGAGCTCTCCGACCCCGAACAGGGCAAGTAAAAGAAAGGCAAATTGGAGTGGGAGAGCTCCCAGGGGGAAGAGGAATCCAGGGTCTTCCCATCCAACTCTCCAAACCAGGACTTGTTTTTAAACCCAGTTTGTACCCCCCCCCCGTAGGGAGAGAGAGAAAGGACCCCAAAGATAACCCCTTTTAAACTGTTTGAATGCCTTCTTTCCTTTTAGCACTGTTTTTACTCACCTCTTTCATGGCTTTTAACATCACCATTAACGTTGGGAGTGTAAAAACAGAGGTAAGAGCACAATCGGTTTTATCCGTTTTAGAAAGTGTTATTTCAGATGTGTTTTTACCGGAGTGTGGTCTACCCTTTTTATCCTCTTACAGCAAATGGCAGGAGAAGTGGCAGCACGGGCCCTCCATTTGGAGCGGATCCAATTTTAATAAAAACGATGGTGTTGCCATTTTATTCAAGACCCCACAGGTGTTGGTGAGGGCGAGCACAGTGGTGGTTGGGGGGCGTGCTCTTTTAGCCAAATGCACCTTTATGGGGAGGGATTTTAATGTGCTAAATGTATATGGTTTTAACAACAAACATGACCGGTGCACACTATTAGAAGACCTGCAGTCCCACATGCTGGGGAGGGATCCTCTAGTGGTGGCTGGGGATTTTAACTGTGTTTTAAGTAGAGCAGACAGGAGAGGAGCGGGAGAAGATTTTAAGGTAAATAGGTCAAGCGTTTTATTGCAAGGGTTCTGCAGGAATTTTAAACTAACCGACTGTTTTAAAACCCTGCATCCAAGAGAGGAGGGCTTCACCTGGACCAGTGGTGACGGAACCAGAGCCTCTCGCGTCGACTATCTGTTTACCCGTGACTGCCCGCCAACTGATGCTAGAATAACCCCTGCTTTCTTCTCAGATAACGTAATGCTGACGTGCACCCTTTCACTAACTTCGGGTGTGACTGTAGGAAGAGGGCCCTGGAAACTGAACTGCTCCCTTGTAGAAGATGATAGAGTAGTTAGCCATTACAGGGAGCAGTTCAGCCAGTGGCAGACGCTACAGGACTTCTTTGACACATGAGCACAATGGTGGAAAATGGTGAAGGGCAAGACGAGGACCTTCTTCAGAGAGATACAGTGAGGGAAAAAAGTATTTGATCACCTGCTGATTTTGTACGTTTGCCCACTTATAAAGAAATGATCGGTCTATACTTTTAATGGTAGGTTTATCTGAACAGTGAGAGACAGAATAATAACAGAATTATCCAGAAAAACGCATGTCAAAAATGTTATAAATTGATTTGCATTTTAATGAGGGAAATAAGTATCAGAAAATATTTCTGGCTCCCAGGTGTCTTTTATACAGGTAACGAGCTGAGATTAGGAGCACACTCTTAAAGGGAGTGCTCCTAATCTCAGATAGTTACCTGTATAAAAGACGCCTGTCCACAGAAGCAATCAATCAATCAGATTCCAAACTCTCCACCATGGCCAAGACCAAAGAGCTCTCCAAGGATGTCAGGGACAAGATTGTAGACCTACACAAGGCTGGAATGGGCTACAAGACCATCGGCAAGCAGCTTGGTGAGAAGGTGAGAACAGTTGGTGTGATTATTCGCAAATGGAAGAAACACAAAATAACTGTCAATCTCCCTCGGCCTGGGGCTCCATGCAAGATCCCACCTCATGGAGTTGCAATGATCATGAGAACGGTGAGGAATCAGCCTAGAACTACACGGGATGATCTTGTCAATGATCTCAAGGCAGCTGGGACCATAGTCACCAAGAAAACAATTGGTAACACACTACGCCGTGAAGGACTGAAATCCTGCAGCGCCCGCAAGGTCCCCCTGCTCAAGAAAGCACATATACAGGCCCATCTGAAGTTTGCCAATGAACATCTAAATGATTCAGAGGAGAACTGGGTGAAAGTGTTGTGGTCATATGAGACCAAAATCGAGCTCTTTGGCATCAACTCAACTCGCCGTGTTTGGAGGAGGAAGAATGCTGCCTATGACCCCAAGAACACCATCCCCACCATCAAACATGGAGGTGGAAACATTATGCTTTGGGGGTGTTGTCACGCCCTGGCTCTAGGGACTCTTTTAAGTTGAACCAGGGTGTGTAGAGTTTATGTTTTGTGCTCGTTGTGTCTAGTCTAGTTTTTGTATATCTATGTTGGCCAGAGTGGTTCTCAGTCAGAGGCAACGAGTATCAGCTGTTGCTGGTTGTCTCTGATTGGGAACCATATTTAGTCAGGTGGTTTTCCCACAGTGTTTGTGGGATCTTGTTCCGTGTTTTGCACCTGTGGACGTCACGTATCGATTTGTTGTTTTGTTCGTGTATCATTTAATAAATAAGTATGTTCACCTTCCACGCTGCGCCTTGGTCCTCTATATCCGACGATCGTGACAGGTGTTTTTCTGCTAAGGGGACAGGACAACTTCACAGCATCAAAGAGACGATGGACGGGGCCATGTACCGTCAAATCTTGGGTGAGAACCTCCTTCCCTCAGCCAGGGCATTGAAAATGGGTCGTGGATGGGTATTCCAGCATGACAATGACCCAAAACACACGGCCAAGGCAACAAAGGAGTGGCTCAAGAAGAAGCACATTAAGGTCCTGGAGTGGCCTTGCCAGTCTCCAGACCTTAATCCCATAGAAAATCTGTGGATGGAGCTGAAGGTTCGAGTTGCCAAACGTCAGCCTCGAAACCTTAATGACTTGGAGAAGATCTGCAAAGAGGAGTGGGACAAAATCCCTCCTGAGATGTGTGCAAACCAGGTGGCCAACTACAAGAAACATCTGACCTCTGTGATTGCCAACAAGCGTTTTACCACCAAGTACTAAGTAATGTTTTGCAGAGGGGTCAAATACTTATTTCCCTCATGAAAATGCAAATCAATTTATAATATTTTTGACATGCATTTTTCTGGATTTTTTTGTTTTTATTCTGCCTCTCACTGTTCAAATAAACCTACCATTAAAATTATAGACTGATCATGTCTGTCAGTGGGCAAACGTACAAAATCAGCAGGGGATCAAATACTTTTTTTCCCCTCACTGTAGGAAAGGAGAAGAAAAAGAGACGCATTTTGGGACCGCAGAGGCGACTGGAAAGGTATTTTAATCTAGTTCAACAGGGTTTTGATTTTAACCAGGAAATTGAAGTTAAGAAAGAAATTGAATTTTTAGTAGAACAGAAGAGCAAGGGGGTTATTTTAAGAAGCAAAGAAAGGGAATTAGAAAAGGGGGAGAAGTGCACTAGATACTTTTTTAAGAAGATAGTTAGGAAGGGTAGGATAATGACAGTTTTAAAAGATGAAGACAGCGTTTTAAAATAAGACACAGAGGGAATAAAATAAGTAGTAGAGGATTTTTATGGGGAACTGTTTGGGGAAAAAAGACGTGTGCGAGGAAACCATGGGGGACGTTTTATCATACATTGACAGAATTTTACCCAATACAGACGACCTAACAAGAGACCTGACAATGACAGAACTCGACAAAGGACTGATACATTTTAAGAGGGGTAAATCACCGGGGGAGGACGGCCTCCTTTTGGAGTTTTATCTGACCGTTTGGGATGTTTTAGCTGACGAACTTCTGACTGTTTTTACTGACTTTGAACAACTTGACAGACTACCTGACAGTTTTAGAGTAGGAATAGTGACCCTTTTACACAAGAAAAATGACAGGACTGACCTGAAACTGGAGACCGATTACCCTTTTAAACTTTGATTGTAAACTTTTTACTAAGGTTTTAACACCCAGAATGTCTTCTGTCTTAGGTGATCCACCCGGACCAAGCCTGTGCCATTCCGGGAAGGAAGATCACGGACAGCCTAGTACTGATCAGAGATGCCATCTGTTATGCGAGAGACAGAAACATGCGGCTTATAGTCCTAAATTTTGATTTTGAGAAAGCTTTTGATCGGGTCTCGCATCAGTACCTCTTCAAGGTACTGCAAAAAATGGGGTTCCCTGAAAGGTTTCTAGCTTGGGTGGGATTGCTGTATGGGGACATCACCAGCAGAATCCTTGTAAATGGGCATTTGTCAAGAGCAGTGGGAGTACACTGCGGCGTCCGTCAGGGATGTCTGTTATCTACCCTCCTGTTTGTGGCTTGCATAGAACCACTGGCACAGGTCTTGAGAAGGGACCAACGGATCAGTGGGGTGGGTATCCCGGGGAGTGGGGGGATGACCGCCAAGTGCATTTTTTACATGGACGACGTAAACATTTTATGCACTGACCTTTTATCTGTCGACAGGACTCTGGACAGGACTGACTGGTACGGACGAGCCTCTGGGGTGAGACTGAACAGAAACAAGACAGAGGCCCGTGGGCAGACTCAGACTTGACCAGACTACCACTGACTGTTAAAATGACAGACATAAGGGTACTGGGTGTAAAATTTGACACGGAGGGAGGAGGGAGTAGCAATTCGACCGGGATTTTAGGGACAGTAAGACAGAGACTAGGTTTTTGGGGACTGAGACGACTGTCTTTTGACGAGAGACTGGGCCGACGGAAGCGCGGAGGTGGCCGCGGTCACGTGTACCGACGAGATGCCGTACACGACGGGGTAAGAAGAAACGACAACCAGAGGCAGAGGGGGCCGTTCACACGGTCCCAGAACCCACGGGACTGAGTGTCTTTAATTTATCAAGCAAGATATTGAGTCCTGCCCATGTCTCCTTACATAATAAAGGGTTATCTTTTGTGCCTACAACTCAGTGCAACGATTTCGATGTTAATGTAGACATGTTTAAGTTTTTTAGAAACATCAGTTTAAAAGGAACACTTCAGCTCCCGTAATTGTGATATTTCAACTGAACATGTAGGTGGCTCACCTGCACATACTCCGACTCCTTTCAGAAGTAAGAGTTATTTTGTACCTCCAGCCAATCGCAATCACTCTATTGAGACGTATTGCAGACTCGTTGAAAAAGATGTTGGTAATCTCCTTAAGAACAAACAAGAGTACATATCTTTTCAAAATTTACCCAAGGATGAAAAACAAGCTTTGCTTGATTTACAACCAGATACGTCAGTTCTTACCCGCCCTGCTGATAAGGGTGGGTCAGTTGTACTCATGGATAGGACAGTTTATGTAAATGTGTGTCACAGACAACTGCTTGACAACACCTTTTACAAGAAACTCAGAAGTGACCCCACTTCCCAATTTCAGAACACTATCTGTTCTGTCCTTGATGGGTATTTAAGTTCTGGTCAAATCACCAAAAAATAACACGATTTTTTGGCTATTCAACACCCTAAAATTGCTACTTTTTATACTTTGCCGAAATTACACAAGAATGTTACAAAACCTCCAGGGCGCCCTATTGTAGCAGGCATTGATGCAGTAACATCCCCTTTATCGACCTATGTTCACTTTTTTATTAGACCTCTCGCAGAACAGCTCCCCTCCTTTGTAAAGGACACCAGCAGTATGATCTCTATTGTTGAATCTCTTGATCCTCTCCCTGATAATACCTTGTTAGTTACTTTTGATGTTGAGTCATTATACACGAATATTCCACACGAGGGTGGTATTGAAGCCATGGAACATTTTCTTCTGCAACATGACCCTAATGAACTACCTTCCAGTGCATGCATTATAACATTGGCTGAAATAGTACTCACACACAACTACTTTGTTTCTAAATTATTTCTTTATTCAGACGAAGGTTACTGCTATGGGATCCCCTATGGCTCCTAACTATGCTAATTTGTATGTGGGTTACATTGAGAAACAGTCAATTTTCAATCCTCTAAAAAAAAAAATATTGCCTAACATTATTATTTGGAAACGGTACATTGATATTTTTGTTCTATGGAGGGGTGATTCTAAACAGCTCCAGGCATTCCATGCTTTTCTTGTTCTGAGCACCTGAGATTTACTATGCAATCTGACACACGTCAAATCAGTTTCCTTGATCTTCTGATTTTGAGTGAGGATAATGTTTTATACACTGATCTTTACAGGAAACCTACTGATCGTAACAGTTTGTTGAGGGCTGATAGCTGTCACCCACTTCCCTTGAAAAACAGTTTGCCTTACAGCCAATTCTGTCGAATCAAAATAATTTGTAAAAAAACAAATCAGATTTCGACTGTAATAAGGCTGAGACGCAAAGAAAATTCAAGGAAAGGGGGTACAAAAATGGTCAGATTAATACTGCCATTGAGAAAATTCAAAAACAAAATCGAGACCTGATCTCTTTCAAGGACAGTCTCGTAAAAATAATAATTATTGCGTTCTAACACGCTATTCAAAGTGCTCTGAACAAATTAAGGGAATCGTTCAAACATTGGCACATTCTAAGATCCGATGACAGTTTTGGTAATGTGTTTTCAGACCCTCCCTTGGTTGTATTCTCGCGGGGCAGAAATCTCAGAGATCAATTGGTAAACTCTGATTTACCACCCCTAAATATCCCTGCACAACGTCTATTTGCGCCTCTGCCGGATGGAAACTACAAGTGTAACGGCTGTGCTCAATGCAATGGCACTTACAAATGTAGATCCTTCAAACACCCCCAAACAGGGAAACAGATCCCAATCAAAGGTGTTATTACGTGCTCCACTAAGGCAGTTATTTATCTTATAACTTGTGGTAAAATTTATGTGGGTAAAACAAAGCGCGAATTAAAAAGTACGAATCTCGGAGCATCGTAGCACCATTAGGTGCCAAAACTCGACATACCCAGTTGCTGCCCACTTTTTGGAATCGAACCACTCGATTTCTTCCCTACGTTATATCGGCATCGAACATGCTACCTTCGGTCTCAACGTAGACTTTGATTTGAAGCCATTCTTGTGATTTTGCTATTCATTGTAAATGTTGTGGGCCTATGTAGCTAAGTATCTATGATCATATGCTATCCATGTTTTTTGTATGTTGTTTTTATCTGTGAATTGGCCAATGCTATTAGGCCACACCCGGCCATGATTACAGACACCTGCGTGTGTCCTTTCGCACTATATAAACCAGTGACCCGCAGTGTTTGTCATTATACCCTGATGAAGACAGCTTGTCTGTCGAAACGTTGGTTATTAAGATATTAAATTATTGCATCTGAGCTGCTAGAGTGTGCGGCTTTCCTTTTCGTTTTGAAGTGTTTTACGCCGTCAGCCAGCACCTCGCCTAAATAGGTGTGCGTTTCTTTCGCTTTTATCTGCCAGCAGGGGAGGACCTAATGCCCCAGCTTGTGCTGTATGGGGTGGGCCGAAGGCCTATAGCACCAAAACTCTGGCCCACCCTAACGTGTCTGAAGGACGCATTGTGGTCCTCCCGCAACCTGCTGGTAGGAAAACGGTTAGAGACCACCCCCCAGGCAGTGGCTTTGGTAGCCATGGAAGCCCTGGGATGGTACGAACGAAAGGGGGCCTCGACCCCAGGCGAAGGGTCCCCCACAACACCTAAGGTCCTGGCGGCCACGGCCTGACAGCGCTGCGGCGCCTAGGGCGATGCGTCTAGGGGAGGGGTCTCCTCTAGGCCCCGACGGATGGGTACAGAGTTGATTCGGAAGAGCAGGAGGCGGCTTTTTTGATAAGGACTCACCCCATTCCCGTACAGAAGACAGCTTTTTAACAAAGTGACTCTTGACAAGTTTTCCATGTCTTAAAAATGTTTTACCTTTGTTAAATCATTTGTGTACATTTTAAATGCCTTTTTACAGATTGGCCTTTTACAAGAAATGGTACTTTTATGCATGGTTGCTTTATTGTTTTAAAGAAACAACTTGTACTTTTTAACAAATGTAAATGTAATATATAAATGCTGGTTTTAATGCTTTTTATGCCGATTTTGTGTTTTAAAAAAGGAAATGCATCAATATCTTTCCAAAATAAAAAAATCTGTTCTTATCAGTTTAATATCTGATACGTCCCCCATCGGGGAACTACATATTAAATGGATTTTTCGAACAGGGAGTCGGAAATGGGGCTTGCTCCGTCCGCTCCAAGCATCGACCCGGTATTGCAGTACCTCCGGGAACGGTGCAACGCTGTTCTCCCATTGTCAAGGAAAAAACTACATGGAGGTAGATAAACAGCCAGCAGAAGAAAAGAGAAAGAAAACTATTCCAAACTGAAAGAAGGGCGAAGCACTTTGTGCGGTCCAGCGTTTTCCCTCAATTTTTCTTTTAAAAAATAAACATATATTGGCATTCACCAGGATAGTGTGTTTGTGTCTGTGTGTGTTTTTGACCAAAAACAGAACAAATACTTCACCAGGACAATCAGTCAGTCTGTGACTTTTACCCCACAGCCCCCGAAAACTTGGCAAGTGGGTTCGGGGACAACCTGCGAGAACCAGGCCTAGAGTAAACAGAGTGTGAACAAGTTCTATGAGTGGAGCGGAGTCCCATAGGGAACAGCCTGAGACAAAATTATGCACACACCTGCAGCCATTAGGAGTACAGGTGTCCCTATAAGAGGGGACACTTCCCCTCAATCAGCCTCCCTTTATCTTCAGCGACTGGACTGAAGAAGCTGATGAGAAGAGAAGATTCGGAACGAAAAAGTCGCCGTCGATTTCCAAGTCTCGACGTCGTCCTAAAATGAGTACACCCGGAGATTTTCCACCCCCAAAAGCTATTTTCAGAGCTCAATGTCGCTGCTCCTCCATGGCTGCTGTGGACTCACACAACTTATGTTTTGTGTGCTTAGGATCACAGTGCGCTTGGAGCGGCCTCATAGATCCCCCACTATGCTCCAGCTGATCCCTCCTTTCTTTGAAGGAGACGAAGCAGCGATGGGCATTTTTTCGGGAGGATATCCCTCTAGAGGACGTGTTATCGGTGCTAGCCTCAGCTTCTGAGGCATCATCTGAGGGCGCTGACTCAGGAGATGACAGGGATATTCCATTGGAACAATCCATAACGCTGACCCAGACGTTTAAGACCCCTTTCCCTCAGGAAATTCCCCTGGGTGATGACGACACAGGCTCTGAATTTTCAGCAGCCCCGTCCTACGCCACTGCCTCTCTGCGCTCTGATTATCCAGGGCTCATTGAGAGGGCTGCTAAGCGGCTGGAGATTAAGCTGCCCCCCATTCCCTCCAACCCGGAAGTGGACATGATGGAGGGCGGCCCTTACTCTCGGCCTAGGAGGGCGGCAGAGCCCTTGGCCCCTGCCATGCCCTCGCTTAGTAAATATGTGGAGGGCTCATGGGAGGCACCTCTGGCTGTCTGATGGCCATGAAGGATTCTGACAGATCCACGCTACTGACCATGGCCTGTTTGGGGGTCGCCGTCAAAGATGCGACGGAGCGATTCATAAAACTAGACGAGAACAAAAGCACCTGTCTAGACACCTACCGTTAGCAGGGCGCTCTAGTTTACTGGATCTACTGCTTGGCGTCGTGCCCGGCAGAAAAGGGAGCGGGCCCCGCCCCGCCCCTCCTGTAGCGCCAGAGGTTCCGACCATTCTGCCGGCGAGAGAGGTCATTAACGCGTCATCCTGGCATCACCCGAAGGGCGGCCAGAAGAGACGCCGTTTATGACATGGCGAGGGGGAGAGAACGGTAGACGGCGCAGCGCCTTGTTGACTGTGCCCACTGTTCCCCCCCACCCTACTGTTGAGGGTATGGAGGAAACTGTGTGTTGTGTGTCTAATAAAGAGTTGGCTCTAATTGACTTTGTCACAAGAGAGCCCCTTTTCCATGATACACCCGAGACCGTTCAGGTGCCTTTACGCTCTCCCTATCTCCTCCTCACCACTCTGAGTGTAGCACAGCCCACTACGGGTGCGTAGCTGAGCATACACATGAGGCAGGTGTGAATAAGGGAACAAGGCAGACATCTTTGATGAGATGCCTTGTTATACCTCATAAAAACCTTACACCACAGACTGCTAGGAGTGTTGTGGTACAGGTTTCAAATAGTAGCCTGCGTACACAGCCAGTTATTGGAATGATGATGCAATCGCTATTGGGAGACGGCGCTCTGACTCAGGCGAGCACCTCAGTCAGTGCAGTTCAGACCTGTGCTGCGTTCACGGAGGGCTGGGACAACGGGGTTACGAGTATAACCAACGTGTCGGCGCCCCCGTTTCTCTCAGAACGCGCTCATGTTTCCTCTCCCTTTCATGGGAGGCCCGCCTTGAGCTGTTCCACCACTTCACTGGTCGGGGAACAGTAGCGGCGAGGGCCGTAGAGGAATATAGGTCCTTCCTACTGAATGCACCACAGCTTCGCGCTCTGCCGCACTCTCAGCATTATTGGGAGTGGCAGTGAAGCTGTACCCTCTCCCCCTGGCAAGACAGGACTCTGGAGAATGGTTATGCCATCCAATTTCATCGGACCCCTCCCCCATTCAGGGGGGTGGTGGAGATGGTGATGAAAACTCCGGAAAAAGTCGCCACTCTTGTTACAGAGATTACGGAACTTTTGGCGAAGGAGGCAGTCACAGTAATTCCCCAGGAGCAAAGGAATTCCTATTTGATAAGCAGCGCTCACCCGCCACCATGTAGCTGCTTGCGGCGGCGATTTAGGCTTGTCATGACGGTTTGGCAGAGACACTGTCTTCAGCCACCCTCTTGTGAAACATTTCCTATTGGGAACGCGGCGGTTTAGGCCAATGCCTAGAGCCATGCTTCCTCAGTGGGATTTTACTTTGGTACGCGAAGCGCTCTGCGAGCCACCGTTCGAGCCATTGAATCAAATCCCCCTGAAGATGTTATCTTTGAAGACGACACTGTTGCTCGCTTTGACCACAGCTAAACGTGTCAGTGATTTGTGCGCTTTTGACTGCCTTGCCATTTATGGCGATTGAGCAGGGCGGTGTTAAGTCTTAATCCGGCATTTATGCCTGAGGTTATTAAGAGCTTACAGATCATAGAGCTGTGGCCCTTCTCTCCCTCTCCCCATGTTGAGAGGAGAGGTGAATGGCTCCATTGCCTGTGCCCAGTGTGCGCCTTGGCGCGCTACGTGGAACGCAAGGCGGTGATTAGGTCATCGCCTCAGCTGTTTTGTGTGTCACGGTGCGGCTGCACTCGGTAGACCACTTTCTGAACAGCGTCTGTCTCACTGGCTTTTTCAGAGGAACAGGTGTAGAGGATAATTGCGCAGCGGTGTCTTGATCGTCACAGTCTCCTTTTATCCATTTCTACCTGTTAGATATGTCTTCTAACTCTCTGGTTCAGTCTGTACTTGTCAGGGTCTGATGTGGATGCGGTGGTGGAGTAAAGCGCAGGACACAGAGGAATAGTCAAGACGACTTTACTAATACCTCTCAAGGTACACACAAATTAACAGCCTCCAAAAACACAAGAGGCGTAACAAAATACGCGAGTGCGTAAAACCCACAAAAGCCAAGGTCACAGAACCTATACATACACGACAGGCGACAATAACACACAACATGCAAACCTAACACAGGGGAACTTATAGGAGACATAATCAAGACAGAATACGAGACAGGTGCACCAACTAGACATAACCAAACAAACATCGAAAACATCAAGCGGTAGTAGCTAGTACTCCGGGGACGACGAACGCCGAAGCCTCCCCGAGCAAGGAGGAGGAGCAGCCTCGGCGGTCTCCGTGACAGTACTCAGTGTAGCTGATGGAAGAACTTGAACTAAGAGAAAAAGATGCAGGACCAGTGGGCAGGGTTCCCATTGAGAGGTGTGTTTCAGTACCTTTCCTGAGTGTTTGTGTGTATTGATACTCTAGGGGGTGCTGCACAGTGGTGCCCTGCAGCATTTGTTTGTTTGTTGTTTAAACTCGTCTGTTTTTGTTGCTTTGTTTATAGTAGTTTAATAGTGTTTTATGTTGCATCGGATTACCGATTAGGCTATGGTAGAGCGACATGAAGTGTGTACAGTGGATTATTCTTCTACTTGGATTACTTTTGCTGGTACCTGAAACAGCATGAGAACTTTTGAGAAAGTCGGCAGTGCCACATATCCGCTGTAGAAGAATGTCAGTGTCACTGCGAACGTTCTACCTACCCTGTGAATTGCCCCAGCCGTTTCTGACAGTTGTTTACATCCATCCAAGAGCTAGCAGTGTCAATGCAGCTGACATTTTCAACGTCACTCAAGAGCTTGATGCGATTTCCCCTGATGCACCCAAATTCATCATGGGGGATTTCAATAGCTGCGCTCTCAAGCACACTTTGAGTACTTACATCCTTGGCCAGACCTCCCCTGGGTGGATCAGATCATAACTGTTCTTCTACGACCAACTTATAGACAGTTACTCAAAATGGAGGTGGTGGTGGAAAAACAAATACTGGTGTGGGACAATGACAGTATTGATCAATTGCAGGGATGCTTTGATTGTACTACCTGGAGTGTATTTGAAGAATCATCAGCTGACCTGAACAAGATTAATGACGTAATATCTGGCTATATTGAATTCTGTGTTGATTTGTTGATCCCCAAAAAAACATGTAAGATATTTCCTAACAAACCATGGGTGACCAAAGATTTGAAAACATTTGTATTTGTATTTATTATGGATCTCCATTATCTGCTGCCAAGGCAGCAGCTAGTCTTCCTGGGGTCCAGAAAAATTAAAACATTACAATATATTCATAAGATTTCACCACATATTAAGGCCTCTACTCTACTACCACATATCTATAACACAAAATCCATGTGTACATGTGTGTATAGTGCGTATGTTATCATGTGTTTGTATGCATCTGTCTATGTTTTTGTTGCTTCACAGTCCCCGCTGTTCCATAAGGTGTATTTTTATTTGTTTTTTACAATCTAATTTTACTGCTGGCATGAGTTACTTGGTGTGGAATAGAGTTCCATGTAGTCATGGCTCTATGTAGTACTGTGTGCCTCCCATAGTCTGTTCTGGACTTCGGGACTGTGAAGAGACCTCTGGTGGCATGTCTTGTGGGGTATGCATGGGTGTCCGAGCTGTATGCCAGTAGTTCAAGCAGACAGCTCGGCGCATTCAACATGTCAATACCTCTCACAAAGACAAGTAGTGATGAAGTCAATCTCTCCTCCACTTTGAGCCAGGAGAGAGATTGATACGTAAGTTCTCCGTGTACATCAAAGGGCCAGCCGTGCTGCCCTGTTCGAAGCAAATTGCAATTTTCCTAAGTTCTTCTTTGTGGCACCTGACCACACGACTGAACAGTAGTCCAGGTGCGACAAAACTAGGGCCTGTAGGACCTGCCTTGTTGCTACTGCTGTTAAGAATGCAGAGCAGCGCTTTATTATAGACAGACTTCTCCCCATCCTAGCTACTATTGTCTCAATATGTTTTGACCATGACAGTTTACAATCCAGGGTTAATCCAAGCAATTTTGTCTCCTCAACTTGCTCAATTTCCAAATTATTCATTACAAGATTTAGTTGAGGTTTAGGGTTTAGTGAATGATTTGTCACAAATACATTGCTTTTAGTTTTCAGAAATATTTAGGACTAACTTATTCCTTGCCACCCATTCGGAAACTAACTGCAGCTCTTTAAGTGTTGCTGTCATTTCAGTTGCTGTAGTAGCTGACGTGTAGTGTTGTGTCATCCGCACACATACACACTGGCTTTACTCAAAGCCAGTGGCTAGTCGTTGTTAAAGATTGGTAAAAGTAAAGGGCCTAGGGAATTCCTGATTGTACCTGGATTTTGTTAGAGGCTTCCATTAAAGACCACCCGCTGTGTTCTGTTAGACAAGTAACTTTATCCACAACATAGCATGGGGTGTAAAGCCATAACAAATCAGTTTTTCCAGCAACAGACTATGATCAATAATGTCAAAAGCTGCACTGAAGTCTAACAAAACAGTCCCCCCCCAATCTTTTTATCATTCATTTCTCTCAGCCAAGCAGTCATTTGTGTAAGTGCTGTTCTTGTTGAATGGCCTTCCCTATAAGCCTGCTGAAAGTAAAATAGCATTTTATCTGGTTAATCACCATTTTCTCCAAAAGTTTACTAAGGATTGGTAACAGGCTGATTGGTCGGCTGTTTGAGCCAGTTAAGGGGGCTTTACTATTCTTAGGTAGGTGAATAACTTTTGCTTCTCTCCAGGCCTGAGGTCACACACTTTCTAGTTTGCTTACATTGATGCTTAACAATAAGAAACAAGTGTTTGCCTCCTGGAATCCACTAGAAAGAAAAAAAGAGGTACAGAGGTGATCAAAAATATTTAATAAAGGCAAGATGCCAGTACATGGAAAATGTGCAACAGATAATGTCACAGGGAGACACTCGGTCTGACTGGATGGGCATTAAGAATATGGCAAACGCCCCCTTTAAAGGGAGGCAACATATCGATCCCTGCCCGGACGAGAGGGTGTGCCTCTACAACCAATGAACTAAACGAGTTCTTCAGCTGCTTTGCCTATCTGGAGGAGGATGTCATGGCAACCGAGAGCGCGCTTCTCATCAATGAGGTAGTCGTACAACGAGTGCCTGAAAGCATAAGTGGTCTTGTCTTGAAACACTGTTCCGCTCAGCTGAGCGGTGTCTTCTGCGCTTTCTTCCAGCGGTCCCTGAATACATTGTAAATTCCATCTCTATGGAAAAAAATCTGTTATACCTGTCCCAAAAACCTCTCATCTATCTGCATCAAATGACTACAGACCTGTTGCTCTTACCTCTGTCTTGATTAAATATCATCAAGGCAGACATAATCAACACCAAACACCTTCTTGACCACCTCCAATTTGCATACTGGTCAGAGAGAGGAACAGATGCCATCCTCTCGTTCTTACACTACCGGTCAATAGTTTTAGAACACCTACTCATTCAAGAGTTTCTTTATTTTTACTATTTTCTACATTGTAGAATAATAGTGAAGATGTCAAAACTATGAAATAACACATTTGGAATCCTGAAGTAACCAAAAAAGTGTTAAACAAATCAAAATATATTTTATAAATTCAATATAGCCACCCTTTGCCTTGATGACAGCTTTGCACACTTGGCATTCTCTCAACCAGCTTCATGAGATCGTCACCTGGAATGCATTTCTATTAACAGGTGTGCCTTCTTAAAAGTTAATTTGTGGAATTTCTTTCCTTCTTAATGCATTTGAGACAATCAGTTGTGTCGTGACAAGGTAGTGGGGGTATACGGAAGATGGTCTTTTACCAAATAGGGCTAAGTCCATATTATGGCAAGAACAGCTCAAATAAGCAAAGAGAAATGACAGTCCATCATTACTTTAAGACATGAAGGTCAGTCAATCCGGAAAATGTCAAGAACTTTGAACGTTTCTTCAGAGGATAAGTTCATTAGTTACAATCCTCAGAAATCGGCAATTAACTGCACCTCAGATTGCAGCCCAAATAAATGCTTCACAGAGTTCAAGTAAGACATCTCAACATCAACTGTTCAGGAGACTGCATGAAATCAGGCCTTCATGGTCAAATTGCTGCAAAGAAACCACTACTGAAGGATACCAATAATAAGAAGAGACTTGCTTGGGCCAAGAAACACGAGCATTGGACAAGTGGATCTGTTCACAGTCAAGAACGTTCCTTTTCTGATTATAGTGGACTACTATTCAGATTTTTGGGAGGTGGAGAAAGTGATTGACACAACAGCCACTTGCATCATCGACTGTTGTAAGCAGCAGTTTAGCAGATATGGTATACCTGACAGTGGTGTAGTTATGGATAATGGGCCCCAGTTCACTAGTCAAGACTTTGCTTTTTTGCAAAAGCCTGGGAGTTCCATCATGTGACCTCCTCACCCTACCACAGTCAGAGTAATGGTAAGGCGGAGTCAGCAGTAAAAATAGCAAAGACTCATCACAAAGGCTATGCAGGAAGGCACAGATGTGTGGCAAGCCATTTTGGCGTGGAAAAATACTCCCACAGAGGGCTTCGGCAGCAGTCCTGTACAGCGCTTAATGTCTAGACGTACTCGCTCTCTGTTGCCAACAACTCCCAAACTCCTCGCACCAAAGGTCATCAGGGATGTTCAGGCACACAATCGTACACGTCAGGACAAGTCAAAACATTACTATGACCAGCATGCAAAAAATCTCCCTGTAATAAAACAAGGCCAAGCTGTCAGAGTGCTCCTGTCACCTCAAGCCAGGGATGCCACATGGAGTCTTGGCACATGCATAGGGCACATCAGCGCAATGTCATATGAAGTGGAAGTAAAGGGCCGAAAGTGTCGAAGGAACATACGCCAGTTCAGGAGAGCATAGGGCACAGGAGGGCCACATGGGAAGACTGAATATCCTCTGGATGGTGTTGGCAGGACACATAATGAGGAGACCCCACCAGGGCAGTTCTGCCGACCATGCCTCCACAATTTCAGGAGGATGTGGAAGAGGAAGGAGAGGCCCTGAGGCTCCCAGAGGTGCCCGACATCCCAGAGTTGCCAGGAGAGGCCCTGAGGATCCCAGAGGTGGCCAATATGCTACCAGTGCGACAAACTAGGACAAGGGCTTATACAAAAAAAAAAGTTGATAATGTAAATAGGTATTTTCACTGCATTATTAAAAATGGTATGAAGTGCTCAAGCTAATTCTATATGAAAAGGAACATGTTGAGATAATGGGCATAATGCCAACCCAGAGATGGTGCTAGTGGGGCACTGTTATGATGAGTTTCTAGGGTATCAAGTAATTAATGATACAAGAAGATGTAACACTTAGTAGTTGATGCAGACTGGTGGGGGATTGGGATTCGCTTCATCAACGTTTATGCACCTGCTGAACCTCGAGGTAGGAAATATCTTTTTTTGGCCTTGTTCAATGTCTCCATTTAAGGTACTGGGGATTTTAGCCTACCTTATTATGTTTCTGTGGATAAGAATTTTTCTTTCAGAATTGTCGACCCACGGGGGAGGGTATGATGTGGGCAAAGTCAAGGGGTTCCTGTTGTCGAATTTATTTTGTTTTTACCTGCATCTGTGCCGGTCTCTCGAGTCACCGTTTCTCCTGTCTGTTTTTTTGACCATCGCCAAGTGCAGGTAATGTTCTCGGTTGATGTAACTATGTTTGGGGGAGGTTTTTGGGAGTTAAACTAAGATTTTGGGGGATCTTTCTTTTAGGGAGGCCTTTAAATCCCATTATGAGTTATCGGGGGACCTCAAGCCCCATTTTGGATCTTTAGTCGAATGGTGGGAGTGTGTAGCGTGCAATGTGCGCACCTTGGCCATTTCGGGAACTTTTTCAGCGCCTTCAGGGGGATCTGACTGCCTTGGTGTCAGCTGAGAAAAGGGTGAGAGGAGGGATGTGGAGAAGATGGAGGTTTTAAAAAGTTAGTTATTTTCAGGAGAAGGCCAGGGATTTTCTCTTCAGGTGTCAAAGGGACAAGTTTGAGTTTAGGTAGGCTAGCAGTTCATATTGTTAAAGCTGCCTGTGCCAAAGCAGTTATTGCTCAGCTGTGAACAGAATGGAATGGTACCTGACCGAAAGGGGATGGTGGAGGCAGCATCCGCTTTCTACCAAGAATCCTTTAGGGAGAAGGACACAGACGGTTAGGAAGAGTGTCTTTTTGGGGTTTTTGGGGAGAAAGATTCCCCCGAAGGCAGTCTGACCTCGACCGCCCTTTCGAGCTTGCGGAGGTTGAGGCTGCCTTGCGGGGCTTACCTACCAACAAGGTGCCAGTATTCAATGGGCTTCCTCTGGTGTTTTATGTTACCTTTTGGGAGATTGGGGGATAGATTCTTTCTGTAGTTAATGCAGAGTTTGATTCAGGGATTTTGGGGTCTTCAATGAGGGAGGGGGTCTTGACGCTGCTTTTTAAAGTAAGGGGAAAGGTATAACCTGGGGAATTACAGGCCCATTACACTATGGTGTGCAGACTACAAGGTGGTAGCCCGTGTTTTAGCTGGCCGCCTCAGGAAGTTTCTGCCCCATGTCATACATAAGGACCAGACCTGTGTGGTGGAGGGGAGGTCTATCCACTGGAACCTGAGTCTGGTGAGGGACTGTATTACTTGGGCCCAAGTAATACGGGGGTGCACCTCATGTTGGTGGGCCTAGACATGGGAGAAGCTTTTGATAAGGTGCATCATGGGTTTCTTTTGTGTGTTTTGGAAAGGATGGGATTTGGGGAAGGGTTTTTGAGGTGGGTGGGGATTTTATATACTGGAGTGGGAAGTAGGGTTTTAGTTAAATTAGCATTTCAGTGAGGTGGTTCCTCAGCAGACTGGAGTACGTCAAGGTTGCCGATTTCCCCACTGCTTTTTGTTTTGTACATGGAGCCTCTGGCAGCAGCTTTCCGGGCAGACAAGTATTTTGGGCCTCCGTCTCCCTGGCGGTGGCTCGTCGGTGGTCAAGATCTCCCAGTACGCGGATGACATGACGCTGTTTCTGACGTCCGAGGGGAGTATCGCCAGGGTGGTGGTGGTCCTAGGGGAGTTTGCACAGGCATAAGGGGGCTAGTTTCAACATGGGGAAGTCCTCAGTGGTCTCCCACTCTGCTCGAGGCCTATGAGGATCCTGTGGGTGGATTTTGAAGTGGCAGGTAGCGAGGGCATCAATTGGGTGCAGAGGAACTCAAAAGTGCGCTCCCGGGTGGGCCTTTGGAAAGCTCGTCAGCTCTCTATGAGTGGACGGGTTCTCATCATTAAAACAGACATTCTTCTGTCTTCAGTTTGTTTGGCCTGTTTTTCCTTTGCCTCCTTGTTACATGTACAAAGGGAATGGATGGTGCAATCAGTGGAGGAAGGGGTGTTCCTGACCTCCCTCTTATGTTGGACACTTTCTTTTCATCGATATGTAAATGTTACGTCATTCCTTGTAACCACAGGTTCAAGGCTTTTCTTTTGGCTATCCTTCACTCTGCAAAGGTTGGTAGCCTGGGACAACTCCCGCCCTAAGGCGTAGACCCTCACGGCTCATTTCCAACATGCAGTGAAGAGGAGCAGAAGGCACACTGAGTGCCTGGAGGATCTGCTCTGCATGGACCACAGGGCTTTATGCAGGACCTTGGTGGCTAAGCGGTGTGTTTTTGTTGTTCCCCTCCATCTTGTTTCCCTACTTTTCCCCCCCCCATTTTTTGTCAACTGAGGAGCTTTTTGGCTGGCCGGCCTGCTAGCCTCCTAGCTTTTTTTAGTTTGTCTTGTTTGGGGTGCGTTTCCTCATTTGTGCCCCTTCCCCTTTGTGTCGGTTTGGTGCGGTTGGTGGGTTGGTTGGTTGACTGGATTTCTAGCTGGCTGGTTAGCCGGCCATGCTGGTTTAGCTGGTTTGTCATCTCACCTTCCGGGCCTTGTTGGTAAGTTCACGTTATTTGGATCGGTGTCCCATATGTGGGACTGTTGAGCTAACGTGCGCTAATGTGATTAGCATGACTGTTGTAAGTAACAGTAAACTTTCCAGGACAAAGACATGAATTTTATGGGCAGAAAGATTACATTCTAAGAGAAGAACAGCGCCGGAGAAGATGGCTGCCGTTTTACAGCCCTCTAACCAATTGTACTATTATGTGTGTTTTTCCGCGTTATTTGTAATTTATTTTGTACATAATGTTTCTGCCATCGTCTCTTATAACCAAAAAGAGCTTCTGGATATCAGGACAGCGATTACTCACCTCGCATTGGACGAAGATTTTTTCTTCAACGAGGCGGCCGCGAAGGATATCCTACAAACACCCGACAAGGCCCAAATCCCCGTCATTCGCGTGAGGAAGAGACGGAGATATCGCGGACGCAGATCCGGGTGCCTTGTAAGGATCCGACGGCGAGCGAGTAAACTGCCTCTCCCATCAATCCTATTAGCCAACGTTCAAGCTTTTGAGAATAAAATGGACGATTTAAGATTACGGTTATCCTACCAACGGGACATTAAAAACTGTAATATCTTATGTTTCACGGAGTCGTGGCTGAACGACAACAATGATAACATTCAGCTAGCAGGCTATACGCTACATCGACAGGACAGAACGGCAGACTCTGGTAAGACAAGGGGTGGCGGTCTGTGTATATTTGTAAACAACAGCTGGTGCACAAAATCAAATACTAAGGAAGTCTCGAGGTTTTGCTCGCCTGAGGTAGAGTATCTTATGATAAGCTGTAGACCACACTATTTACCAAGAGAGTTTTCATTTATATTTTTCATAGCTGTCTATTTACCACCACAAACCAATGCTGGCATTAAGATTGCACTGAATGAGTTGTACAAGGCCATTAATCAACAGGAAAACGCTCATCCAGATGCAGTGCTCCTAGTGGCCGGGGACTTTAATGCAGGGAAACTTAAATCCGTTCTACCTAATAATAATAATAATAATAATAATAATATTATGCCATTTAGCAGACGCTTTTATCCAAAGCGACTTACAGTCATGCGTGCATACATTTTTTTGTGTATGGGTGGTCCCGGGGATCGAACCCACTACCTTGGCGTTAAAAGCGCCGTGCTCTACCAGTTGAGCTACAGAGGACCACCTAATTTCTACCAGCATGTTAAATGTGCAACCAGAGGGAAAAAAACTCTAGACCACCTTTACTCCACACACAGAGACGCATACAAAGCTCTCCCTCGCCCTCCATTTGGCAAATCTGACCATAACTCTATCCTCCTGATTCCTGCTTATAAGCAAAAACTGAAGCAGGAAGCACCAGTGATTCGGTTAATAAAAAAGTGGTCAGATGACGCAGATGCTAAGCTACAGGACTGTTTTGCTAGCACAGACTGGAACATGTTCCGGGATTCTTCAGACAGCATTGAGGAGTACACCACATCAGTCACTGGCTTCATCAATAAGTGCATCGATGGTGTCGTCCCCACAGTGACCGTACGTACATACCCCAACCAGAAGCCATGGATTACAGGAAACATCCGCACTGAGCTAAAGGGTAGAGCTGCCGCTTTCAAGGAACGGGACTCTAACCCGGAAGCTTATAAGAAATCCCGCTATGACCTCCGACGAACCATCAAACAGGCAAAGAGTCAATACAGGTCTAAGATTGAATCATACTACACTGGCTCTGACGCTCGTCGGATGTGGCAGGGCTTGAAAACTATTACAGACTACAAAGGGAAGCACAGCCGCGAGCTGCCCAGTGACACAAGCCTACCAGACGAGCTAAACCACTTCTATGCTCGCTTCGAGGCAAGCAACACTGAAGCATGCATGAGAGCACCAGCTGTTCCGGATGACTATGCGATCACGCTCTCCGTAGCCGATGTGAGTAAGACTTTTAAGCAGGTCAACATTCACAAGGCCGCAGGGCCAGACGGATTACCAGGACGTGTACTCCGAGCATGTGCTGACCAACTGGCAAGTGTCTTCACTGACATTTTCAACATGTCCCTGACTGAGTCTGTAATACCAACATGTTTCAAGCAGACCACCATAGTCCCCGTGCCCAAGAACTCTAAGATAACCTGCCTAAATGACTACCGACCCGTAGCACTGACGTCTGTAGCCATGAAGTGCTTTGAAAGACTGGTCATGGCTCACATCAACAGCATAATCCCAGAAACCGTAGACCCACTCCAATTTGCATACCGCCCCAACAGATCCACAGATGATGCAATCTCTATCGCACTCCACACTGCCCTTTCCCACCTGGACAAGAGGAACACCTACGTGAGAATGCTATTCATTGACTACAGCTCAGCATTCAACACCATAGTGCCCTCTAAGCTCATCACTAAGCTAAGGATCCTGGGACTAAACACCTCCCTCTGCAACTGGATCCTGGACTTCCTGACGGGCCGCCCCCAGGTGGTAAGGGTAGGTAACAACACATCTGCCACACTGATCCTCAACACGGGGGCCCCTCAGGGGTGCGTGCTCAGTCCCCTCCTGTACTCTCTGTTCACCCATGACTGCATGGCCAGGCACGACTCCAACACCATCATTAAGTTTGCCGATGACACAACAGTGGTAGGCCTGATCACCGACAACGATGAGACAGCCTATAGGGAGGAGGTCAGAGATCTGGCCGTGTGGTGCCAGGACAACAACCTCTCCCTCAACGTGACCAAGACAAAGGAGATGATTGTGGACTACAGGAAAAAAAAGAGGACTGAGCACGCCCCCATTCTCATCGACGGGGCTGTAGTGGAACAGGTTGAGAGCTTCAAGTTCCTTGGTGTCCACATCACCAACGAACTATCATGGTCCAAACACACCAAGACAGTCGTGAAGAGGGCACGACAAAGCCTATTCCCCCTCAGGAGACTAAAAAGATTTGGCATGGGTCCTCAGATCCTCAAAAAATTCTACAGCTGCACCATCGAGAGCATCCTGACTGGTTGCATCACCGCCTGGTATGGCAACTGCTTGGCCTCTGACCGCAAGGCACTACAGAGGGTAGTGCGTACGGCCCAGTACATCACTGGGGCAAAGCTTCCTGCCATCCAGGACCTCTATACCAGGCGGTGTCAGAGGAAGGCCCTCAAAATTGTCAAAGACTCCAGCCACCCTAGTCATAGACTGTTCTCTCTGCTACCGCACGGCAAGCGGTACCGGAGTGCCAAGTCTAGGTCCAAAAGACTTCTCAACAGCTTCTAACCCCAAGCCATAAGACTCCTGAACAGCTAATCATGGCTACCCGGACTATTTGCACTGCCCCCCCACCCCATCCTTTTTACGCTGCTGCTACTCTGTTAAGTATTTATGCATAGTCACTTTAACTCTACCCACATGTACATATTACCTCAACTAGCCGGTGCCCCCGCACATTGACTCTGCAACGGTACCCCCCTGTATATATAGCCTCCCTACTGTCACTTTATTTTACTTCTGCTCTTTTTTTCTCAACACTTTTTTTGTTGTTGTTTTATTCTTACTTTTTTTGTTTAAAATAAATGCACTGTTGGTTAAGGGCTGTAAGTAAGCATTTCACTGTAATGTTTGCACCTGTTGTATTCGGCGCATGTGACCAATAAAATTTTATTTTATTTGATTTCTAACTGCACTGTCCAATTTACAGTAGCTATTAGAGTGAGAAAATACCATGCTATTGTTTGAGGAGAGTGCACAACATAAAACGTATCACGGCAACTGGTTTGATACATTCACCTCTGAAGGCAAATCATGTACTTACATTCAGTAATCTTGCTCTGATTTGTCAACCTGAGGTTCCCAGAGATAAAACGTAGTGTACTTTTGTTCGATAAAATCAATTTTTATATTCAAATGTAGGAACTGGGTTCTACAGTTTGAACCCTTGCTGTCTCTGGCTCCACACCCACCCCGCACGGCCATCTAGATGCGTTTAAGTTAGTGTATAAGCTAATGGTCCATCATGTATGACATTCCTGGGAGTGTGTAAACTTACATTTTGTATTACCATAACATTTTTGTATGTTCTCTATAGTTCTGTATTTGAAAATGTGTCAATTGACCAAGTCGGCACATTTGGGCAGACTTGATACAAAATATTGCAATGCTTCACTGGAGCAATCTGAAACTTTGCACGCACTGCTTACATCTAGTGGCCAAAAACTAAATTGTGCTTTTAACTGCAATATTAGATTGTGGCATCTTGCATTTTAAAGATGGAACATAAAAATAGAAAACACATGTTTTTTGTTTGTAATTTCTTTTACCAGATCTAATGAGTTATATTATCCACATTAATTTCACATTTCCACAAACACAGGCTGACAAGAGGAGGCACCATGCTGTGCGCCTCCTCTTGAAAGCGAAGGGGGAAAAGAGAATGAGTTCTCATTTGGATTTCTCCAGAAAAATCTTCCAGAAGGAGCTCAGTTTCAAACCTGCCTTGATTAACTGCATTGAAAAATGTTGCTCAACCAGAAGGAGGAACTAACAGAGTCACTGAACAACAACCAAAACAGGCAGGGTTTTAGGAGGGGTTCTGAAAGACACTCATTGGGTTGTCCACTGAAAGTTGACTAGCAACAACAACTAGAACCTAAAAGACACCCACCAAATTTGCCCGAAAGAGGCAAACTAAAGAAAAACCCACACCAAACCTAAAGATAGGAAGCAAATCAAAAACATGGCGCAAAACAAAATCAGATAAAGGATTGTTTGTCTAGAAATCAAAGTAGGGCGCACCAACTAAAAGGGTGTTGACCTTCCACATATCTCAAGACAACTGAAGCACTGGGCCAGTCACTCTTAAATAGCACCTGGGCCAGCACAGGTGAAACACCTTCCCACTAACGAGATGGCAACCAGCACAGCTGTAACACATATCGACTAACAAGGTGACACCAATCGGTGCGCCCTACGTGCTAACGAGCTATACCTGCTAAGGTCCAGCCTCAAAACATAAATGGAAAAACCAAAGCCTGTAACACCTTACCCCTTAAGACAACAAATATATCCTATGTTTTTGTTGGACAAGTGTGCTCACCACCAACAGAAAACAACTTCCGTTGCACAACATAATCAATTTAAATCTGTCGCCTTCTGCAATATAAATATGGTGACTACTGGCTGTCAACAATTAAATACAAGGCAAAACAGCCACCTCTTATTTATTTTTAAATGTATATATGCTTTGTTTTTTTGTATTTTACAATATTTTCTACATTTGTGTAATTGTACATACACACACAAATACATATACAGTACCAGTCAAAAGTTTGGACACACCTACTCATTCAAGGTTTTTCTTTATTTTTGCTATTTTCTACATTGTAGAATAATAGTGAAGACATCAACTATGAAACAACACATATGGAATCATGTAGTAACCAAAACAATATATATTTTAGATTCTTCAAAGTAGCCACCCTTTGCCATGATGACAACTTTGCACAGTCTTGGCATTCTCTCAACCAGCTTCACCTGGCATGATTTTCCAACAGTCTTGATGGAGTTTCCACATATGCTGAGCACTTGTTGGCTGCTTTTCCTTCCCTCTGCGGTTCAACTCATCCCAAACCATCTCAATTAGGTTGAGGTAGGGTGATTGTGGAAGCCAGGTCATCTGATGCAGCTCTCATTCTTGGTCAAATAGCCCTTACACAGCCTGGAGGTGTGTTGGGTCTTTGTCCTGTTGAAAAACTAAATGATAGCCCCACTAAGCGCAAACCAGATGGGATGAATTCTAAATAAATCACAGACAGTGTCATCAGCAAAGCATCCCCACACCATAACACCTCCTCATCCATGCTTCATGGTGGGAACCACACATGCGGAAATAATCTGTTCACCCACAACGCGTCTCACAAAAACATGGCGGTTTGAACCAAAAATCTCAAATTTGGACTCATCAGACCAAAGGACAGATTTCCACCGGTCTAATGTCCATTGCTCGTGTTTCTTGGACCAAGCAAGTCTTTTCTTATTATTGGTATCATTCAGTAGTGGTTTCTTTGCAGCAATTCGACCATGAAGGCCTGATTTCACGTAGTCTCCTGAACAGTTGATGTTGAGATGTGTCTTACTTGAACTCTGTGAAACATTTATTTGGGCTGCAATGTGAGGTGCAGTTAATTGCCGATTTCTGAGGCTAATAACTCTAATGAACTTATCCTCTGTAGAAACTTTCAATATCCTTGAAATTTTCCGTATTGACTGACCTTCATATCTTAAAGGAATGATGGACTGTCGTTTCTCTTTGCTTATTTGAGCTGTTCTTGTCATAATATGGACTTAGCCCTATTTGGTAAAAGACCATCTTCCGTATACCCCCACTACCTTTTCACGATACAACTGATTGTCTCAAATGCATTAAGAAGGAAAGAAATTCCACAAATTAACTTTTAAGAAGGCACACCTGTTAATTGAACTGCATTCCAGGTGACGATCTCATGAAGCTGGTTGAGAGAATACCAAGTGTGCAAAGCTGTCATCGAGGCAAAGGGTGGCTATTTGAAGAATCTCAAATATAAAATATATTTTGATTTGTTTAACACTTTTTTTTGGTTACTACATGATTCCAAATGTGTTATTTCATAGTTTTGACATCTTCCCTATTATTCTACAATGTAGAAAATAGTAAAAATAAAGAAACTCTTGAATGAGTAGGTGTTCTAAAACTAGTGACCGGTAGTGTAAGAACGAAAGGATGGTATCATCTGTTCCTCTCTCCGACCGGTATGCAAATTGGAGGTGGTCAAGAAGGTGTTTGGTGTTGATTATGTCTACCTTGATGATCTTTTCAAGATATTTAATCAAGACAGAGGTAAGAGCAACAGGTCTGTAGTCATTTGATGCAGATAGATGAGAGGTTTTTGGGAAAGGTATAACAATATCTTTTTTTTCCATAGAGATGGAATTTCCAATGTATCCAGGGACCGCTGGAAGAAAGCGCAGAAGACACCGCTCAGCTGAGCGGAACAGTGTTTCAAGACAAGACCACTTATGTTATCAGGCACTCGTTGTACAACTTCCTCATTGATGACAAGCGCGCTCTCGGTTGCCATGACATCCTCCTCCAGACAGGCAAAGCGGGTGAAGATCTCGTTTAGTTCATTGGTTGTAGAGGCACACCTCTCGTCCGGGCAGGGATCGCTATGTTGCCTCCCTTTAAAGGGGGCATTTGCCATATTCTTAATGCCCATCCAGGCAGACAGAGTGTCTCCCTGTGACATTATCTATTGCACATTTTCCATGTACTGGCATCTTGCCTTTATTCAATATTTTTGTTCACCTCTCTGTACCTCTTTTTTTTCTTTCTAGTGGATTCCAGGAGGCAAACACTTGTTTCTTAGTTTTAAGCATCAATTTAAGCAAACTAGAAAGTGTGTTCCCTCAGGCCTGGAGGGAAGTAAAGCCCCCTTAACTGGCTCAAACAGCCGACCAATCAGCCTGTTACCAATCCTTTCAGCACGCTTATAGGGAAGGCCATTCAACATGAACAGCACTTACACAAATTACTGATGATTGGCTGAGAGAAATTAATGATAAAAAGATTGTGGGGGCTGTTTTGTTAGACTTCAGTGCGGCTTTTGACATTATTGATCATAGTCTGTTGCTGAAACTGATGTGTTATGGCTTTACACCCCCTGCTATTTTGTGGATAAAGAGTTACTTGTCTAACAGAACACAGCGGGTGTTCTTTAATGGAAGCCTCCGACAAAATCCAGGTAGAATCAGGAATTCCCTAGGCCCCTTACTCTTTTCAATCTTTACCAACGACATGCCACTGGCTTTGAGTAAAGCCAGTGTGTATGTGTGCGGACAACACTATACACGTCAGCTACTACAGCAACTGAAATGACAGCAACACTTGAAGAGCTGCAGTTAGTTTCAGAATGGGTGGCAAGGAATAAGTTAGTCCTAAATATTTCAGAAAACTAAAAGCATTGTATTTGGGACAAATCATTCACTTATCCCTCAACCTCAACTAAATCTTGTAATGAATAATGTGGAAATTGAGCAAGTTGAGGAGACAAAATTGATTGCAGTAAACCTGGATTGTAAACTGTCACGGTCAAAACATATTGAGACAATAGTAGCTAGGATGGGGAGAAGTCTGTCTATAATAAAGCGCTGCTCTGCATTCTTAACAGCACTAGCAACAAGGCAGGTCCTACAGGCCATAGTTTTTGTAGCACCTGGACTACTGTTCAGTCGTGTGGTAAGGTGCCACAAAGAAGAACTTAGGAAAATTGCAATTTGCTCCGAAAGGGGCAGCACGGCTGGCCCTTTGATATACACGGAGAGCTAACATATCAATCTCTCTCCTGGCTCAAAGTGGAGGAGAGATTGACTTCATCACTACTTGTATTTGTGAGAGGTATTGATATGTTGAATGCACCGAGCTGTCTGCTTGAACTACTGGCATACAGCTCGGACACCTGTCACGCCCTGGCTCGGGGGACTCTCGTATGTTGAGCCAGGGTGTTAGTTTCTATGTTTTGTTGTGGGTCTAGGTTATTGTATTTCTTTGTGTGAGTGACTCCCAATCAGAGGTAACGAGTGTCAGCTGTTGGCTCGTTGTCTCTGATTGGGAGCCATATTTAAACTGTCGGTTTTCACTTTGTGTTTTGTGGTTTCTTGTTCTAGTTGGTTTGTGTTTAACTGTAGACGTCACGTTTTCGTTTGTTAGTTTGATCGTGTGATCATTTATATAATAAAAGATGTTCGCATTCAACGCTGCGCATTGGTCCTCATCCTTAGACGATCGTGACAACACCCATGCATACCCCACAAGACATGCCACCAGAGGTCTCTTCACAGTCCCGAAGTCCAGAACAGACTATGGGAGGCACACAGTACTACATAGAGCCATGACTACATGGAACTCTATTCCACACCAAGTAACTCATGCCAGCAGTAAAATTAGATTGTAAAAAACAAATAAAAATACACCTTATGGAACAGTGGGGACTGTGAAGCAACAAAAACATAGACAGATGCATACAAACACATGATAACATACGCACTATACACACATGTACACATAGATTTTGTGTTATAGATATGTGGTAGTAGAGTAGAGGCCTTAATATGTGGTGAAATCTTATGAATGTATTGTAATGTTTTAATTTTTCTGGACCCCAGGAAGCGTAGCTGCTGCCTTGGCAGCAGATAATGTGGTTCCATAATAAATACAAATGTTTTCAATTCTTTGGTCACCCATGGTTTGTTAGGTAATATCTTACAAGTTTTTTGGGGGATCACCAAATCAACACAGAATTCAATATAGCCAGATATTACTTCATTAATCTCGTTCAGGTCAGCTGATGATTCTTCAAATACACTCCAGGTAGTACAATCAAAGCATCCCTGCAATTGATCAATACTGTCATTGTCCCACACCAGTATTAGTTTTTCCACCACCACCTCCATTTTGAGTAACTGTCTATAAGTTGGTCGTAGAAGAACAGTTATGATCTGATCCACCCAGGGGAGGTCTGGCCAAGGATGTAAGTACTCAAAGTGTGCTTGAGAGCGCAGCTATTGAAATCCCCAATGATGAATTTGGGTGCATCAGGGGAAATCGCATCAAGCTCTTGAGTGACATTAAAAATGTCAGCTGCATTGACACTGCTAGCTCTTGGATGGATGTAAACAACTGTCAGAAACGGCTGGGGCAATTCACAGGGGAGGTAGAACGTTCGCAGTGACACTGACATTAGCTCTACATCAGGAGTGCATATTTATTTCCTGACAATTGTAGTTTTACACCATCTATAATTTATCAGAACAAAGACTCTGCCTCCATGCTCCTTACCAGTAGCTTCACTGTCTCTGTCCATCCGAGTAATAGTGTCAGGCACTGCCTCCGACAGCCAAGTTTTAGAAAAGGCCATCACACAGGCCTCCCTGTATTTATAGAGATACCGTGAGTTTTCCCGCAATTTGTCCATTTTCCCCTAGAGTGATTGGACATTGGAGAGCAGGATAATAGGAAGCGGGATCTTTGTTTTGTTCCTCCTCAACCTCTGCTGCACACCTCCTTTCGTTCCCCTTTTCCTCTTCCTTTTTAGTAGTCCTTCACCCGGTTGTTTTGTCTCACGATCTCTGCAGGTATGTCCCCTTTGATCCATTCTCCCGAACTTGAGTTATTACATTGTAAAGGATAGTTTCTGCTATAGTGGATATGTGGCGCTGCCGACTTTCTCAAAAGTTATCATGCTGTTTCAGGTACCAGCAAAAGTAATCCAAGTAGAAGAATAATCCACTGTACACACTTCATGTCGCTCTACCATAGCCTAATCGGTAATCCGATGCAACATAAAACTACCATAAACAAAGCAACAAAAACAGACGAGTTTAAACAACAAACAAACAAATGCTGCAGGGCACCACTGTGCAGCGCCCCCTAGAGTATCAATACACACATAAACACTCAGGAAAGGCACTGAAACACACCTCTCTTCATCCCCTGACATTCACTGTCACAGCTGTAAATAGGGCCATGCAAAAGAGAGAAAAAACGAACAAGATCGCCCAGGGTAAGTACAGTCTATCTCAGACAGAACCCTCCCCCATCCACAAGCCACTCACCCCTTCCAGGTAGAGGTAACTGTTCGGCATGCCCGGTGCCACAAAGGAGCGTTCGGGGCTGGAAGAGGAGTCCACATAGGTTGCTACCTGTCCACAGGCCAACGATGCCTCCACAGGGCTCGAAGAGTAGTCTCTCCTGGAAAGTACCTGTGCACAGTCCATTGAAGCCTCCTCAGGATTGGTGTCCACCTCCGAGGCATCCTTCTCGGAAACTGCCGCAATCAAAAAGGACCCCTGGAGCTGATCCCCAGTCCGCACTATCGAGGCCTCGGAGACCGCCAGCGCTGAAGCTTCAAAAACCCTGGGTCCCGGCCCCCACATCTGACCCTTCATTCCCGGTATCAGGGTTCAGTACTGTAAACCTGTTGGAGATGGCCACCGATGGCCTCCTGTGTTCTTCTATCAACACCAGGTCTATGGTCCTCCTTTTCTTCCTTTTCCCCTTGTATTCAAACCCTGACTGTCCATTGTCCAAAGATGCCGCCAGCCGAACACTACCTCATCTTCCGCGAACGGGTGGGTGTAGCAGAGTCGTCTGACATCTCGCTCAGCGGACTATCCTCCCAGGCGCCCTTCAGCAGCTCAATCTCCTCCAAGGTCTCCTTCGTCTGGACCTCCTCTGCTGCACTTCCCCCCTGAGCTTTTCCCACCTCAGCTGCAGCCGCTCGAATTTCCTCAAGAACCTCCTCTATTGGCCGGAAAGGAGAGTCCGCAGCACCTACCTCGGGGCCATCGTCGGCTGCGTCCGCATAGGTCCGTTGTCTCCTTAGGCAGTCTTTGAAAATTTGGTACCTCAGTACATAACTTAATCTTAGCCAAAAGGCAGAGAAGCGATAACCCACAAATTGACCCCTGCACCCACCGGGCACCCGGGGGTCTCGGGAGACCTCTGTGGTTTGGCAAAAGTGGGCTCCTCCCACGCCACCCCTCCCTCCCCTTAACGTTTCCCTGCCGACAGTCAAGTGTTTTTTCCAAAAAGTCGCGATGCGTCAAGTCACTACTAGCTCTTTACGTCCAGTGCCACTATTTGTTCAAAGGCCGGAAAATACGCCAGTCGTCGTTGTCGGGCTTGAATTCAATTGGCCGAGTGACTACTTTGACTGGACAAATACGCTGGTCAGCCAGCATGAACTCAAATACCTGAGCAAAAAGTCTGCGCGGCAGGCAGACACCGTCTCTGTTGATTTCTCTTGAAACAAGATATCGGGCTCTGCCAGAAGCAAAGCCCCTCCAAAAATACATTGAACTCGTAAGTGTTCCTCTCCACGGAAGTCTTTAGTAAAAGGCGAAAGGCTTGTGCTTAGTGGAAACCAGAGTCGTATGGAAGTCAGAGGTTGGGGCCCGAGACGCACTCTGTTTACTCTAGGCCGGGTTCTTGCGGGATGTCCCCGAACCCACTCGCCAAGTTTTCGGGGGCTGTGGGGAAAAAGTCACAGACAGACACAAATACACACAGACCCACTATCCTGGTGAAGTATTTGTTCTGTTTTTGGTCAAAAACAGACATGGACAGACACACACAGATGCAAACACACTATCCTGGTACATTAAAATATATGTTTTCTTGTGGGGGTTTTTAAGAAAATGGAGGGAAAACGCTGGACCGCACGAAAAGCGCTTCGCCCTTCTTTCAGTTTGGAATAATTTACCTACCTCCGTGTAGTTGTTTTCCTTGACAATGGGAGAAAAGCGATGCACCGTTCCCGTAGGTACTGCAATACCTGTCCTCTACAAAAGCCATCTCCCATTAATGAGAGAGAGGAGAGGAGAGAAGTAGAGAGAGAGAGATGAGAGAGAGAGTAGAGAGAAAGCTAGAGCATCTAGAGAGAGAGAGAGAGAGATATGCGATATAGATTGCGCTCAGCCGAGCTATACTACTACGAGAGACTATATCCATAAGACGATCTCTCCTCTCTCTATCCGATGCTTCTCTCGCTCTCTAAAAAAGACTCTCTCACTCTCTCTCTCTCTCCTAGAGACATCATGACCGCTGCTAGCGCACTGACTCCTGTCCCTCTGCTACTCTCTCTCTACTTCTTCTCTCGTCTCTCTCTCTCTCTCTCTCTCCTCCTCCGTCTCCGCCTCCTCTCTCTCTTCTCTCTCTCCTCTCCGCGTCTCGCTCTCTGCCGTTCTCACTCTCTCTCTCTCGATCTCTCTTCTCTCTCTCGCGCTCTCTCTCCTCTCTCTCTCTCTGCTCTCCTCTCGCTCTACTCTCTTCAGTTCCCTCTCTCTCTTTTCCTTCTTTTCTTCCCCTCCGCTTCGATCTCGCCGGCTACCTAGATTTTTCGCCTCCTTGCTCGCACACGCTTTTTCAGTTTCTGCCCCCAAATGTTCTATAAGATTGAGGTCAGGGTTTGTTTTGTCCTAAGCCATTTTGCCACAACTTTGGAAGTATGCTTGGGGTCATTGTCCATTTGGGAGACCCATTTGCGACCAAGCTTTAACTTCATGACTGATGTCTTGAGATTTTGCTTCAATATATCCACATAATTTTCCTTCCTCATGATGCCATCTATTTTGTGAAGTGTACCAGTCCCTTCTGCAGCAAAGCACCCCCACAGCATGCTGCTGCCACCCCCATGCGTCACGGTTGGGATGATGTTCTTCGGCTTGCAAGCGACCCCCTTTTTCCTCCAAACTTAACGATGGTCATTATGACCAAACAGTTCTATTTTTGTTTCATGAGACCAGAGGACATTTTTCCAAATAGTACAATCTTTGTCCCCATGTGCGGTTGCAAACCATGGTCTGGCTGTTTTTATGGCGGTTTTGGAGCAGTGGCTTCTTCCTTGCTGAGCGGCCTTTCAGGTTATGTTAATATAGGACTTGTTTTACTGTGGATATAGATACTTTTGTACCTGTTTCCTCCAGCATCTTCACAAGGTCCTTTGCCGTTGTTCTGGGATTGATTTGCACTTTTTGCACCAAAGTACGTTCAACTCTAGGAGACAGAACGCGTCTCCTTCTTGAGCGGTATGACGGCTGCATGGTCCCATGGTGTTTATACTTGCGCACTATTGTTTGTACAGATGAACGTGGTACCTTCAGGCATTTGGAAATTGCTCCCAAGGATGAACCAGACATGTGGAGGTCTACAATTTTTTTTCTGAGGTCTTAGCTGATTTTCTTTGGATTTTCCCATGATGTCAAGCAAAGAGGCACTGAGTTTGAAGGTAGGCCTTGAAATACATCCACAGGTACACCTCCATTTGACTCAAATTATGTCAATTAGCCTATCAGAAGCTTCTAAAGCTATGACATCATTTTCTGGAATTTTCCAAACTGTTTAAAGGCACAGTCAACTTAGTGTATGTAAACTTCTGACCCACTGGAATTGTGATACAGTGAATTATAAGTGAAATAATCTGTCTGTAAACAATTGTTGGAAAAATTACTTGTGTCATGCACAAAGTAGATGTCCTAACCGACTTGCCAAAACGATATTTTGTTAACAAGAAATTTGTGGAGTGGTTTAAAAACGAGTTTTAATGACTCCAACTTAAGTGTATGTAAACTTCCGACTTCAACTGTAGGTAGTGGTATGTATTCATGTGTAGTCTGAATTTAATATATTCCCAGATTATGGTTGGGGGGCATTTAACCTCTTCATCAATAGGCACCTGGCTAAAGTGCCTGCCTCGAAAATGCATGCCCAAATTGAATAGAGTATATCTCCAAAACGACAAGGGCTATCAACATAATCTTGGTAGCAAAAGGTAACATATGTGAGATGTATCTTGAAGTTAAATAATTAATGTGGGTATTACTATGTCAGAGTACATGAAGCTAGAACACAGCATAAATTGGGAGGTTTTGATGCCGCCTGAAAGTAACTTCAGGTTTTATAGGGAATAATTTATTGGACTTATGCAGCTGCAGCCCCTAAACACTATGGGACCATAGCCCAATATCTGATGAGTACTTATGTGAAGTTTGATGCCAATAAAGTAAATTAAACCAAAGTTGTAGGGGTTTTAGTTGAAGTATGTTTAGGCGGATTACCAAATGGAGATATTTGGGTAGATTTGGGCACCATCAGTGCCGTTTGACTTTTATCAGGTACCAGACAGCAAAAGGCATTTAATTTCACTAACATATCACTATATGTGTACATTCCATCAAAATACAACTGTTTTGATGTTGTTTCCCATGTTCTCCCAGACCTCTATATGTGTTCCCATTAAAATAAACCATACAATGGGAAAGTTTGACTCCAAACTGAGCAGATTTATTAGAAACTATAAACAACAAATTTAAAAACAAAAATTACATACATCCCAAAACTATAAACAATTATATGGTGTCATTGGGTGGGTTGTCACACAAAATGTAGACCATTTTTTCTCTTCTCATGCCACCTATCTTCTTCTTCCTCTTCTTCCTCCCCAACTCTTAGAGTGGCAGGCCTACCTCCACCACGCTGACTTGGATGCGCTGACTTTGAGAAAACTTTTCCTTTTCTTTTGGGTTGAGGGCTCTTTACAGGGGACTCAGTGTCCGATGAAGACCGTGGCCGAGGGAGGGGAGCAGAAGTGCGTTGTCAAGACAAGAGGCCAGGCTGAGGAAGAGGAGGCTCTGCCTGAGGAAGGGGAAGCTCTGCCTGAGGAAGGGGAAGCAGTGGCTGAGGAGGCAGATGCTCTGGCTGTGGCTCATCACCCCTATAATCATCTTCACTGTACAAACAAGACAAAAGAGAAAAGAAAATCATGACTGAAACACACTTGTATTCATTCATTGACAAATCTGACTCAAAACAGTCAGATATATAAAATAAATAGTTAGAACTATGAGAATGTTGACTAAAGTGATAATTCAGTGACAAGAAATAATACATATAGCGTTCTATTGTAAGTCAACTTGCGCGTGGGCCTCTAAGCTAAGCTAGCTAAGCTAGCGCTAACTTACGTTGAGCTTCAGTTACTCAAATAGATATTTTAGAATGTATGTTTTGTACTCATTCAATAAATTAGTAATAGTAGTATTAGAAGTAATAAATAACAATGGAATTACATACTCTTCTGATGCTTGAGTAGGGCCCTGGACACGATAACCTTCGTTCTCGTCGTTGTGGTCTGGTTCGTCCCGTCTAAGCAGGTCCTCATCGTCTGATTTAGAGTCAATGGGGATACATGGTCCAACTTTCATCTGTTACAATGAATAACGCCTCTGTAACTGTATATTTGTTACTAGAGCCTGCCATATTTGAATAAACTTTGCGTTTTACCTCCGAAATTCTAGTGTTGTGGTGCGCTCTGCGTAACCATGCGTAATGCAGCAAGTCAACTAAT